TGAATGTAGGTGTTTAAGCAACAGTTTACCGCGTCATACTACAACATTTTAGTTCGTGAGTGCAGGCTATAAAAACGCTCTAAAGTGAACGCAGTACGATTGAAGCAAGCTGCGATGTGGTATAAGAACACAACGGAAAAATTCCGGACAGAGATTTAGAGCAAGCCAGAGCTAGTCAGACAAGGTAAAAGCTGTTGAAGCAGTCTGCGGATATACCGCACTGATCAGCACCATTCAGACAAGAAAGATTTTTTCCAGGGGTGGAATGGGCAGCGTTTTATGGTGCATAAAGTTTCGAACCCGTCAAGAGTATTGCAATCATTTAAGGAACTGCACTCTTGCAGACTAGAGAGGATTTAGTGAAGAACAGATACAGCAGCCTTGCGAAGACACCAACCAAGGCGGGAACCAAGATTATCCGTTGAGGAGCAGAGGCTTTGTTGGGCTGAGGCTGAAATGGTCCAAGTTGATGAGAAGAAAGGACCCCAGAAAATGCGCACTGATGGGCCAAGGCAAGGCGCGCACAAGATGCGTGATACGGAGCAACTCAAACGCATGGAAGTGGCGGGCATGGCCCGCAGAACTTTGGAACGACTAGCGACACAGACCCGCCTGGTGCTGTAGACTACAAAGAAGAAGCCAAGGGCAGACTTTGATAGTGCGCGGCCTAGGGTGCAGACCCTAGATGTAGTTGTTGGCTTTCATTCATGATTTTGATATACAACTTCATTTTCCTGCTTATTAGTTGCTTCTGGTGGCGAAAGATAAATATAAGTGCTGGATGCAAGAGCACGGGGGTCAAGAGCTCCAAACTCACGGTGATACAGTAGCCAGCAGGTCGTTCCTCGCATTAAGCGTGCTCAGGGAGTTGGTGTCGAACTCACCGTGCATTACCCGGGAGCTCACCTTTAAGCCGCTTTTAGTGATTACTTTGTCACTTCAGTTTGGTGCTGAGGCTCCTACATTCTTAGCAAGAGACCTTCCGAGCCATTACGACTTCCTGGTTGCCCATGTTACCACTATCACTTTTATCAATGCAGATGGGCCATGAAGGAACCGCGTCGTCTAAGAGCTCAGATGAAGGAGGCTCTAGGTGTGCATACGCAATGTATTTTGCTGACTGGCCTGAGTAGTCTTGGCCAGCAGCGAAACCCGGCACCACCTGCCGAAAGAAAAACAGAGAAGGCTAACTAGAGTCGCAGCTGCAGCGCACCGCCAGATGGTGGAGGGCATTCAACGGACGGGATAGAGGGTAGGAAACGATCTTTGAATCGTAGCGGTTAGAGACATGCAAACAATCAGAAACCGCGACCAACTCGTATCAATAAAGCATATGACTTGGGAGCTGCAGCTAATTGACAGGAGCACGCAGAAAAGGCAAATAGTAGAGACAGGATTGACGACGAGTCTCCTAAAAGTAGTAACCCAGTTGCAGCTGAGAGGTGACCTGGTCTGGATGCCCACCAGCGTCATGAGGTCGCATGGAACACCCATATTTAGGGCCCGTTTCGGTGGTGCATCCAAAATTCTGGACATCAGCAAACGTGCCTACAAAATTCATCTTCCCCACAGAGTGCTGCAACATCCTTTAGTTTACGTGTCTGTCTTGCAGCACGACCCGACACGTCCCCGTCATATGCTTGAGCTAAAATGTTTGGAGGAGGCCATTCCAGATATTGCTGGTGCTGATCCGGAAACGAGCATGATTTCCTGCTAAAGAGCCGTGGAGACGGAGAGGAAGAAGAGCTGTCAGTCAAGCGGAAAGGGTCTCCGGGGAGGGCCGGGACGTGGGAACCTCTGTAAAGCTTCGGGTGTAGCCAAGACCCTATTCTAGCCTTCAGAGCTACCTGTACTAGTCTTAGAGCCTGAGAAAGCGTGGTGAACTCGGCCTGCCGGATGCAACTTGAAATGGTATGTGATGGCTATTTTCTTCAGAGGGGGGGCAAGCTGGAGGAACTATGGGGCCCCTTGCCGCCCATGGACGGTGCTCGAAATGAGCAAGAAGAACAAAGGTTTTTTAATAACTTGCCTGAAGACTGCTAGCTCCTTGGCTTTGGCAAGAACGCATGGAACAATGTCGATGCATACTGTGTGAAGCAGCCTATCTACACTTTCCCCTGCCTAGTGTAGTTGCTCGCCACTCGCGAAACGTGCTTTGTGTTCATTTTTGTGAGGTTCAAGTAAGTTTGCTCCAAGTTCTTGTCGATAACGTCATCGCGTAATACATACCAATATCAGCAAGTGCATGACCCCATAACGAAAGTAATTGAAGTCCAGAAGTAAATTATGGAAAGGGCTTTTGCTGTGTAATTCAAATCATGTCAATGAGGATCCGTGCTACATTCATGCACTACAAATTTCATATTTGCGTGTTTCCCCCCCCATGGCACTACACAACACCCTTGCCTTCAGCTGCCTTCTTTGCAGTTGAAGGCTGTATTTCAGCACTACCACCTCAAGACCTATAGGCCTGCATGCTTATAGTCCATCAGCGCCTCTAGTTCGTCAACATGGTTAGTGCAGATGCATGACTGTCCGTGAGCAAATAAGGATTTCGCGTGGCTACAATACCTGGGGCGAACGGTTTTCCAGACAATGTCGTACCTGCTTGCCATTCGCAAATATTGAGGAGTAACAAGGAAATTGAGCTTACTTTGGGGCACGGCTGAACAATGAGGAAATAAAAATGATGCTTTGAGCTAGCTGCTTGTGAGTGATGCGGCATGACGCCTACTGGGGCATTTAGAAGGTTTTTGCCCCATTCCCTAAATTTGCTTGCACGAAGAAGTGCACGGAAAGACTGACTTAGATTACCAAGGAAATTCAAAGTGCTGAATTTGTGTAGAATTTTTCGATGTGGTGAGCCAGTGAATAGTGTCTAGTACCGAAGGCTTTTGATGTGGATTGTGGGTCGTGACTTGCAATTTCGTAGCAGCCGGCCAGTCGCACGTGAAATCGCGATGACAAAGATTACAGGCCTGAGCATGTTTGCAGTACTTGCACAGATTTACAAAACATGATGAGTGACACTCCTACAAAATGTTTCCACAGGGTTGAGGAGAGTGGACATCGAGCCCAGGATCTCCGCTCACGCGCTCAGCCCGCAATGGATGCTCTTGCTGCTGCATTGAGCGAACCAACCTTAGGTCAGCAGCAGAACTTATCGGCAAGCTGAATTCCAGGGGTAGGTTGGCTTCGAGTTCCCTGGACTCCGGTGGGAGGCTGTACGATTGCGGACGGGCTGTCTGGCCAAGAGCTTCCGTGCCTGTTGGGGTAAAATCAATTTTTGCAAGGCATTTTGCCGACATTACGACCCTGGCGTCTGCCTGATGGGGGTTATTGAGTGGAGCTTCACTCTCTGCTTGGTCCTCACGCGCCTACGCTGACAAGACTGACTTTCCCACGCGCATACTTTTGACCCCAGCACCTACATAGAGCCCTTGTTACTAGACACAAGCCATTGCGTCAAAGGTGCGAACACATGTGTGCAAAGCCGTCACTCAAAGACTGCTGGACATCGTGAATTGTATGCGGGTTCACTGATGCATGCAGAGGAAGATAAGGTTTGGGAATACTTGCATCTCCGCAATCCCAATGGACGCCAGTGTCGGTGGCTACAAGCCGATCGATTATCCAGGAGATTTTACTACTTGAACACTCTCCAACACTTCTATGATTGATCGGCTTTTTTTTTGTTAAGCTGAGCAGTATCTTGAAGCATCAAATTACGGGGCAAATGTGGATGGTCTTCTTCGCCACAGTGAGTTTAGTCACGACACATTCCTATTTAGCTTTCGATGAATACGCCAGCATTCCTGCAGTTGCCCGAAGGGCCAGAGTACCCTTTAGTTCGAGTATATATAAGGCTCCTCTTTCTTTAACTTTTAATGCCTTATGAGCCTTTAGCTGACCAAAAAAAGCTCGCGGCCAATTGTGGGTGTAGTTCGTTACACTACTGGACATCGACCGGCGTACGAAATGGAGATAGTCATTTAATTTTAAAGGGGAAGGCGTTTTCCCATGTGGTCTGTCAAAGTTCACACAACTAACTGGACGTCCAGCTGGCTGCCGCCAAGCTTCTGACTTTTGGTTTAGCTTTGCCAGTATATCCTCATGTGAGGAGTCGATAACAGTACGTCCGAGAAAAGGGGAGGCTGTCCTTTAAATATAAAATTACTGGCATTTGTTTTGGGCCTCCTCATGGAGAGCCAAATTTGGACACTTTGCTATACTCAGATGCAGCGTTGAGATATGACCGAGCGAACCAGGCGGAAGAAACAATTATTCAGTGCGCTGCAGAGAGCAGCACTATAAAGCGTTCTTTTCTCAATAGTAAGTTTATATTGAAGTAAACAATGAAGTGGAGTAAGGGGCATCACATACACTTGTCTCGACTCTCCTTACCGACGTCCGCTTCCAGCCATCCCGCCTGCTGGGTGGTTGTCTTTGTTAAAAGTATTTCACAAATATTTGAGCCCTACGGCTGTTTTCGACGTTTCAAACGATGTGTTATCCTGCTCAAAAACACTCTGTAGAATGTTCTTGCAGTACCCTGTTAACAAAGAAATGTGCGACTGCGACCAAATCCCGACTACCGAGTGAAATGCAAACTAATGGATTGAACCGCACTTAGACTATTCTGCTAACACTCCTCATATTTTGCAAACATCATGTAATTTCACGTATAAGAATTAGCTCTCAAAGAAACTGAGGTCCAGTGATCAGCATGCTACGAAATGTGAGGCGGGGCTGAACATAAGTTTGTTCATTATTCCGCATTGACCTTCAACAGTTAATGGAAGCCATGGTATGAGCATTTTTATTTTTATAGGAAGAACAGGCTAGTGGGCGGCAGTGGACTTCGCCATATTGGGCATCTAAGCTGCTCTGCTGTAGAGCCAACGCCTGGCAATGCGATCTTCCATCACTTCTCATAAATCGTATTTCTTGAAATCGATTTCTCGATAACTTGGTAAATTTCACTACTTTTTGTGTGAACAATGGCGTCAGGCGTCCACGCTGGCCGCAGACTGCGCACCTTGATGGAGAAGGAGTTTCTGCTTATCCCAGGAGCGTTCAATGGTATATCTGCCCGCCTTGCAGCACAACAAGGCTTTAGGGCGCTCTACCTCTCAGGTCAGCATTTGAATGCTAAAGACCTTACAAGCTATACAAAGAAGAATGGGAAAAGGTTTCAGAAATGTGTTGTGTATGGTTGTTTAGTGATCAAGTATCAACTCACAAAGTGTAGTGCTGTCTCCTTGTCATTTTGTGCTGCTCTACTGTGGATGCTTTTTACTAAAAAACTCATGATTGGCAGGAAGGACTTAAACCATTCAAATACATACCTAAAAACGAGCACACAAGAAAAGAGCTAACATTTTAATTGCTCTGTCCGGGCCCTCTTCGTCTCATTGCCTTTTCTCTCAATTTAACTTGCTGCAGTGCACATACTTCTGTTACCCTGTGCATTATTTGCCACTTCTCCATATATATTGTGAGTGTGAGTAAGGGGTTTATAGCGCTTTCCTCATAATATGATAGAAACCCTGGGTCGTACATACTAGTTGCTGCAATAAGCAACTGTGCTTCATCTTAAGACTGAGAAGGTATCATAAGAATGGAAATCACAAGATATGTAGATATCCTCTAGCTTTAATACAAGGAAAGCAAATCGAAACAGCGATGTAGCGTGCGTGGATTTTTCCCCATTACCTTCAAGGGTTTATTGCATCTCTGTGACACTTTATGTTAAAGGGAAATCTAGGTGAAGAGTTAGTTTCTAAGAATGACCTTGTGCATTTCTTTGAGAAGACTGCAATGTTCGTAGATCCGTGAAGCAACACACACCGAATCCTAGGCTTGGAAATTTCGCATTGCCCTGTATATGTGTAATGCGTAGTGGTCATGACCTGGGATTTATTATGGCTTTTGTACATTTAATTTCAGGAGCTGCTCTGAGTGCTTCCCAAGGTTTGCCAGATATTGGATTAGTCCCATCAGAAGATTTCTGCCGAACAATCCACGAAATGAATCAAGTAACTTCTCTTCCTATCCTAGCAGGTCAGGCAGTAAATATGAAGATTACATTCTTCTTCAGGTTTTATCTACTGTCACAATGATTAGTTATAAGGCAAGCTTGTTGCCACATGACTCTTTTGTAGCTTTTTCGCTTGCTTATTGTTGTGCTAGTTCTTGCGTTTTGGGATGCCAGATGCAGACACGGGCTTCGGTGGAACAGAAAAAATAAGAAAAGTGGTCTTCGACTTCCACTTTGCTGGTGCAGCGGGGCTGCACATCGAAGATCAGCAAATGCCTAAAAGGTATTGAAAGTAGCAAAAGTCGTGCGCCCTGTTGTTCCACCCTTATCAAAGGTCTTACCTCTGAGTTTTGTATTGAGCGCATGACTGCTGTCAAGGAAAGCTGTTTCTTTAGGTGTTGAGGTTTATTTTGGCCAACAATTTGCGTCGATTTCCGTTTCCCTAGCTGCGTATTATTTTTGTCGTCTAATTTGCTAAATTGTGCTATAAGGGGGCTACCTGGGGCAAGATGTATCGGAAACAATCGTTTGGGCTTTTTGATGCCTACATTCTTTTTCGTCTACATGTGACCATCATTGCATCCCGCACGAGCTGAGAGGGCCGCTTAATCACTGATTTGTGACTCCGTCTTGCGTTAAAATTCTGTACCAATCGAAATGAATACGGATAGATTAATCATACCCGTCAACAGCTGTTTGCCCACCGCCTATATATCTGTATGCAGTCCCAAGTTTCTTATGTTTTCAGGTGTGGCCATCTTTCTGGCAAAACACTCATATCAGTTGATGAAATGAAAAGGAAAATTGAAGCCGCAAAAAAAGCAGCCGAAGATTTTACCAGCGGAGATTTTATTATTTGTGCTAGAACGGATGCATTTGCTGTAGAAGGTGAATACCTAGCAGTCCCCTGTTTAACGCATGATTAGTGTGCAGTCTACATAGTGCATTTTCACTCTGTAGAGAAGTTTCAGTGCAATGCTAGCTTTTCTGTTGTTTCATTTGCACTTTTGATGGCTTAGAAAACTTCATCTGCAAGTTCCGCATTTTACTTCTGCACATCCATGGGAATGCCTTTCGTCTATTTGTTTGCTTCGTTCCATTCGTCGTGGGGGTTTTACACTGACATTGATTACTTCTAGCAAGAAATGGTATCCGTTCCTCTGCTGACGTAATCTTAGGCTTGGAGGGAGCAATCGGCCGCGCTTGTCGCTATGTGGAATCCGGTGCGGATATGATCTTCCCAGAAGGACTCAACTCTTTGGTCAGCAAGACTAGTTTTTCTACTCCTCCAGTTGGCGGTTTTTTGTGTTGCTTACCTTTCTTCATGTTGCCGTTCCACTAGTTGGTCTTCCTTCTATCACCCTGTGATCAATTCCTTAGTCGTTTACCCCGTCTCGGCTCCTGAGCCCACTTTGTCTCGCTGTACCCACCTATCCATGAGCAAATCTACTTGCGCTTCTTCGTTCAAGTTATAGTGTTTGCCGCTTCTTGTTTTTCTTGTTACTTTCCTCAGTCTGCGTTTTCTTCATTTGCTACTGCCTTAAGAGACGTACTGGGCCCTGCTCCTGGAGGTGGCCCTTTCCTCTTGGCGAATATGACAGAGTTTGGTCAGACACCGATGCTAAAGGCAAACGACTTCAAGGACGCTGGCTTTCATTGCGCGATTTACCCTGTTTCCGCTCTCCGTGTCGCCATGAAGGCTATCCGGGTGCGGTGACAAGAGAAGGAATCGACATAGAAAATAAGGGTTCCACTCTAAGTTTAATTGTTTCACTACTTCCCCAAAATAAACGCAAAATTTTAAGTAATCAATATCGCTGTCAACACCAGATGTTTAGTTGGCTAATTACATGTTAGACAAAGCCAGGAGAAGGAGCAAGAAGCATGGAGGTATTTTTACGCTGTACGTACATGGAGAATTGTAAGCCTTGTGTGTGTATACACATATATGCAGAATCGTACATTTGCTGGGTTGTTTTCCAAGCGACGAAAAGGGTTTACAGGGGAGAGGGTCTAACAACTCTTACATTCACTCACGTTCAAGTAGGACTATAGCAACCTGACGCAGGCATCCAGATACATGGATATACTTCGTGTCTCTGCATGTTTTAGATAGCACATACTATTTGCTACCAGCCTTAAAATGAGACGCATGTGATTGCTTTCTGGGTACGCCTGGTGGTAGGAGATGTACAGTGAGCTCAGTACCCTTGAGACCCTTGAAGGCCAAGTTCAAAAAATGCTTTCAAGAAAGGTGATTACAAGCAGGCCACCTTCATTTACAATAATAGTAGACGCCTACCAAGGTCATTTGGGCAGCTAGCGATATGGTTGGCTGCATACACGTATACGTGTAAATATTTCCTCAGCAGGCTTGCTGATCACTCTGCTATCTGCGTTGTTGCTTGTCTTTAGGATTTATATGAGACGCTGCATTATAACCCTTCAAAAGAGTGGTATTTTCCATCTACTGCACTTAAGTCGCCTTGAGACGCTCCTACCAACGCGTGGTGAAGTTGTGCAGCTGCACCATAACTCGATGCAATGTGAAACAGGAAAAACAACGGTGCCGCTTTGCCCAGTACTAGCGGACCAATTGATGTTTACCTAAATTTTTGTACGTTGTACCTTTCTTCAGTACACCCAACATATGTTCCTGTATACATTTACATACACGGGTTAACATATGTACAACGGTGCATTTCAAGGGTTGTGATATCGATATGGAGGGTTACTGCAGGCCTGTTTTCTCCTATTCAAGCTTTTCTGTAGCTTCTGGTGCTTCCCTTCTTTCCAGAAGGCATTTTTGCAACTCCTGCCTATCTCCTGTATATAAAGGCTAATTAACCTATAACTTCTACTACACCCATATGGTGTCCTTCGCCTTCACCAAACAACGGGTAAACACTGATTAATAGGAGATAACAAATCGGTTTAGGCTCTTCATTGGGCGTGAGGAATAAAAATATTGCATAGTATAGCCAGGATGCAGCACTAATAATTCTGACAGTTCGTTTTAGAAGCCCAAAACAACTAAAAGTAAAACCCTAAATGTTGAAATTTTATTCATTTTGTCAAAACCATATTTCAAGCGTAAAAGCCCATAAAGATACCAGACAAATGCTAGAAGAGATTAGCATACCGCTAAATCCAACATCTATTTTCTTGAGTGCGTCTGACTGAAGTGGTAAAGACTCTCCTGATTTTGACTTTGCTCTGACAATCGGAAGTAGATATCCCAGTTGCTGCTTCAGTAGTTCATCCTGATTCCTTTCAAACTCCCTCAAAAGTGTAATATTTTGGTGCTCTTGCCGTAGTGTATCGCTAAGGGCTTCTACATCCTTCACAATTTGACCTCGGAGCTTTGAGGATATCTTCGCTGCTTCTTTTAAAGCCTTAGCCTCAGCTAACCCATGTTCTAGCATGTTAGCCACCGCAGATGCTCCCGACCGCAGGGCATACATTCCCTTGCCATATGTTTGATCCAAATTTTCTTGCTTATTTGAAACAAGAGAGCCGTTTTTATTATCATGTAGTGTGGCATTTGATGCTCCAGAATCATCAGTAAATTCTGCTCGAGGCGTTGCTGCACTTGGTACTGCTGTCGATAGGCTCAGTTTGCTTGGACCATATTGAAGGGGGCTATGGTAGTGTGAGTTGTTTACCTTGCCTGCTTTCGTCATGGATTTAATGTCAATTTCTCTGCCTTCTGCTTCCTTCTCTCCCAGTCCTGACAGCTCCTCTCTCCCTGCTACGTGGTGAGGTTCGTATTTGTCCTGTGATAGAAAGCTGTCGTGCTCCTTATGATTCTCCTCATCAGTACGTACACCCGAATGCAGCAAAGGGAAGCCGAAGGGCGCGTCGGCGGCAAAACGGTGGCGAGTAGTGCTGTTCTTCGAAAATGAGAGACAATCGCCCATTTCAGCTAGAATTAAAAGCAGGAGTAACTGCAAGTTTTTCTTTAAAAGTAAGCCTGAGTCTAATTTTAGCGCTGAAAAAGCCGGCTTGGGCCAATGGCTCTCGCTGTCGGCTAAGCCTCGAGAGGGTAGTGCGGGCTCCATTGCGCCCCTCCACCAACCACAACCATCCAAACAAAGGATACGAAATAACCTCCAGTCTTGGCAGCCTTATGATCTAAAAATAAAAAGATGGGGTAATTTTGGAAAACAATAGTTGAGGCCACAATGTTCTGAGCTGAGCCGGGAGCCCCAATGGTCATCCCGTACCCCAAGTCCACTCTACCCTTGTTTCGAGGCACTAAAGCAACGTCAGAAGACTTAAATAAAAGCATTACATAGCAGTTAAAAAGGCTATTTTATGAATGAAGCAGGACCGAACCCCTCAGCTCGGTGGATTTGTCTCCTTCCCTCCCGCACCGGCAGTGACCCCAACAAACCCACATTCCTCTGCTGTGCATCACTACCCACTCTCGAGCTAGTCACTCCCAAACACAGTATGTAGCTCAACCAGCAATCAGAAGTTAAGAAAATGACTCAGAGTCGAGCGCCCATCCATTATCCCCACCGCATATTTTGCAACGTTTCCATGCCACAGCCTCTCCCCTTGACCTTGAACTTCCGAAGATGCTAGTGTCTTTTTAACGAAGAAGAGTCAGCTTTGTATCCTTTTATCCCTATGTACGTCTGTTTAGCTCACGTACAGAAACCTACACTGTTGCCATTCTATGCTAATTGCTAGACCCTCAAATGTTTTACGCCTTCAGTTACGTCACGGTATGACCGTCTACATATAGGCATACATACACATAAATGCCTTTACACATGGACTTCAAGCAGAACAATATAAGTGTGGCTGTGCTCTATTGATTCATACGGATACCAATGTGCAATTCTTTACACATTTGTACATACACACGTATACGTATACTCCGCTTATCACACGCATGTTTCCATGTATATCTTAGTTCGAATATGTAAGCGGAAAAGGGTTCATCCTCTGCACACATGCACACCTACAAGTGAAAATCAGCTACCATCAAAATTACAAGCATATGGGAAACGCACTGTCTGAAAAAAACGTGTTAAGATGTTGCTGGCGTTGAGTCTTATCCCCCAAATCTTGACCACCAAACCCTAAATCCCTTAACACCGAAAATTGGAATGAATTCCCAATATCTTTGAAGCTCACCGAGCAGCCATTACACAATTCACGTGAAAGGCACAACTATTGTCGAGTCTAAGCCAGCACATTGCTAGCCAGCAAACAAACGTCCTGCCAGCCAGATAGCTACTCACATTGCCAACCCTCATAGCCGTCCGGCTAGAGACGCGCACGAGATTCCGCCCTTTGTGGTTTTGTACAGGACTTGCTGGTGGCTGATTGCCGTTTGCCGAGCGTATACACGGACTCATGACCATTGCAGATGACGGATTTTCATCTTCCCCGATGTTTGTGTCCTTTCCCAACTGACTGACCGTGTTGTGCTGGTTGCTTCTACTGCTTAGCAACTCTCGAGAAGGTCTTTATGCGCTGCGCTGGGCTCGTGGTTGAGGAACTCCAAGTCCTCTGGGCCGAACAGATCAATCTCCTTGGCAGCAGATATCCCACGTTTAAGAATTTCTTGTGCTCTTTCGTCCATCTTTTCACCATCTCTCAAGAAGAAGGGAGGCACGATGTTGTTTAGCCTGTCTGTAAAGTCTAGCTTAAAAGCCATGCACTCTACTCCCAGTTTTCCATCAAAGGTTACGAGTGGTGACGGGGGCAAGAACTCGGTCAGAGGAACAGGCTCTTTCGGATCTCCCGACCGTTTTGAAAGTGACTTTGCAATTAAGAAAGTGCTGAAAGACAATATTGCCTTATCCACCCGGAACGAATGTTCTCTAGATATGGAAGGCTCCAAGGAGAGCTCTCTGCTTATCTTCCTCTCAATCATGCTGTTCAATTGTCTGCTGCTCAGCCGTCCGATTAATTCTTCTGGGACCCTAACCTCTTCCCCTTCTGTATCAGACGACGGTCCCATTTCTGCTGTTTCTGTCGTGTCCACCTCGGGCCCGCAGGAGCAACAAGATAAACATGGTAGACCAACCTAGCACACAAACTCAAAACACTACGGGCAAAGAACTAAATTCACTCTCAGCCTCACCGCTGGCTACTGCTATAGGCGCAGCCACCAGAGGCACGCACAAAGGGCTAATGTGCAGAGGGCCTAGGTCTGATGCCCCTTGTACCTGCTCTCTCCCCCTCTTGTCCTCTTCTAAGAGAACTGCCTCTGCTAGCTCTTTGGCAGCCTTCAGAGCTCTTTCTTTTTCTTCTTCGTCGTCAAAATCAGGAAGCTCGTCCTGAGAAGGCTCTGGAACAAGGAATGTTTCCTCTCTTGGAGCAAAATGGATGGACTGAGCGGTGCCTTGGTGCCGCGACCGTTTGCCATCATGCACCAAGATGGATCGCCGAGAAGAGGGAGTCAAGGAGAGGGCACCGGTAACGGAGTCGAAAGATGCTTGGGGTACAATAGGAGTTGCCATTTTCTTCGTCTGCTTGTAGGGTAGGGCACGGAGAACAATATCAGCACGGACGGAGGGGATAAGGGTTGGGGTTCCTGGTAGTAGTCACGGACACAGGGGCGCATGTAGAGGCAGGACGTCAATCCACGGCAACCCAAAAGCTGGTTGGATGACAAGCAAGCCAGGCGTGGGAAAAAACGACAACAGGACACATAGCCAAGATAACAGGATCAAGGTTCAGGCAGCAGCGAAAGCAGGATCATGAGCATGTATGTTATATCTTCCTTCCCTCTTAATGAAACAGCCTTAAAGGCGGCTCATAATGAGTGTATGCATGAAAGGGATGCTAATAAAACATCGTGGGGAAGCCCCTCAACCCGCTTTTTAACTCTTCATGTTTGAGCAGAGGAGATTCACAATAGTGCGCGCCCCCGTCTAGTTCAGTCTTTTCGTGCTTTCCTATGGATTCCTGCGTTCATTTAAAACAGTATGGGGAACTCACTTAGGACGGTTCAGGATTTTGCTGGGGAAAACGGAGAAACTTATTGGCTAGCTGTCGATGCGCAGGCAGAGGAGATGTTTGACGTGTAGAGGCAGTAAAAAAGGAGGAACATGACCTGTGGAAGCGTGAAAAACCTTTTGACATTAGTTATACCTTCTGATACCACATAAATTAACAAAAAGGAAAATTGTGAAGTGATAATCTTGGGGAAAAGGTGGTGAGAACCTCCACAGCGGAGAGAGAATGGCCTCCAGTGCCGGGTGCTCCTGCTGTGCTTGATGTATTTTAGTCGGCTCTTGCCATCTTTAGTTAATTGTTAAGCCTTTATATATTCCATTTGTGTTTTTAAGGAGGAGAGGGCTCAAAATATTGTCTTTTGGCCCATGTGTAGACCTGAAGGCACCACTCTTTCTTGTGCCCCTCTGGTATACCCTATAAACGGCATCAAAATATAATGCGGGAAGTAAGCGTCTAATGCTACCTCTTCTATTGTTCTCGTCTTGTTAAATTTGCTTGTGACCCTCCGGCATTACTGTACACATTTGGGAACAGTTTTCATTGAAATGGGGGGGGTGCGCTGTAGGAGGATCGAAGTCGAAATGCATGCACGCATGTACAGCCGCGTACAGATGTTCCCCATATACGACTGGCTATGCGCATTGGTGTGCATAGCTTGAGGCGAAAATGGAAGCGTATGCCTCCGTACACGTGCATGGGTCACACCCAGATGGGCACAAATCACGTACAACGGTGGTACATCTATATCCATAACAATTCCATATGAATAGATAAATAAATGTATATATATATAAGCATCCACAGACTTATATTCAAGTGCAGTGTCTCTGATTATTAATGTAGCATACTATTACACGGATCTTAGGTGTATGTGCTGGGGCATCCCATTTGTATTCGCACACAAGCTCAATGGTATGCATTAATGTGCAGGCATCTACACACACACTCAAACATCAGTGATTCGTGTGTAGCGAATGCCTGAATAGCAGTCAGTAGTAACTTTGTATTTTCATGGAACTGCATCTACGTGCGCGTGCTAAATGGTGGGTGTGGAAGCACGATTGGTTCTTTCCGTTGAGAAGGCCAAGGCCAGAAAATATCCAACGCAGGTGCGTCCAAATACAAAATGTGTACAGAAAAGTGATATGGGTTCAGGGTCTACAGACATCAGTCCGCTTTGAGTGTCTACGAATTTATAGGGAAAAGCGTATGCTTGAGCACCCCAACCGATATCAATGCTCGTTCGCAGTTCCTCTTCGACTGGAGCCCCTTGATGCGTGTTCATACCAGGCACTAATAGGCAACGCTCTATCCTGATGCCTACACCGCAGACTAACAATAATTAGCTATGCGTGTATGCAGCATAATAGACTGCGCAAAACCACTAGAGCACAAAAACCCGTTCGGCTTATGACGCCACAACGGCCTAGAACTGAAGGCTTGGAGCTCTGGGATCAGAGGTCATCGTCGTCTTCAAACTCCTCCTTCATCAGCTGTACGTACACACCAGCAGTGCAGCAAATAGATAAATGGCCTAAAATGAATGACGCTCCAGGAAAAACCAGACACGTTAAAATGGCTGCCAGTATGAAATCCTCACGGATTCAAACCAAAGGAGCAATGGAAACAAGTATGAGAGCTCATCAAAGTAACAGCAGCGCCAAGACTTTAAAAAGTATTGGCAAGAGGCTTCTACCTCTTTAAGCTCGAGTCTGATTTCATAGACATCGTCTCCCTTTAGCATGTCCTTGACGAAGTAGCACGAGACCCGCATCCGCAACTGCAACAAATAAATCCCAAACCGTGGAGGGTGGCATGCTAAAAAGGCGATTCCCAGTACAGTAATGGAACCAAAGCGAGGCACAGATACAATCGACCCTACACTGGGGCCCCTCCAAGAACCCGTAAGCGCCTTAAAGGAGCTGGGGGCATATGTACACGGATTTGGATGAGCGCAGAAACCTCCACACATATATGCACTGCGCATACAATAGAAAGTGTGTATGCACATAAGTGTAGAACTATGTGCACGCAAGTTTCCTCGAGGGTTATTGCGCTGCGTCGCGATATGTGCGGCAGGATACCTGTTCTAATGCCCCCCTGATTACGCCACAAATGATGTTGGAGTAGTTCAAGTTTGCAAGTGCCGGGGGAAGCTCTACAAAGTCCGTTAACGGGTTTTCTGTCAAGATAAGAGAACAGCTCTTCTCCTGGGAGTCCCATGAGGCCACCTCAGCAGACACGCCGAGAAACATGCGCAGGCCCAGCTGTAGCAGGCAGGATTGCACACAGAGGGGTAGCAAAGGCAGGGGTTGTTCACATGGAAGCGTAAATGCATTCAGACAACAGCCAATTCCTACACAGCAACAGATGGCCAAGCCAATAAGCTGGGCAAAATTCGACTTCCACCAGCCCCACCCTTGCAATAACTTCAGCGGTTTCTCTGAAGCCTGCGCATGCGCCAATTCCTGACTTTGCGAGGAATTCGTCCACCAGACGAATCCCAATGTTATAGCCCCTAAGCGACAGGAGTATCACCAGCAGCACCATCAGGGTCAGCGACAAAAAACACACACATAGCGGCAGGGAGTGATACCTGTGCCCTGCTGCTACGGCGCGCGCGTGCTGCGGTTCTGCAGTTTGCAATTTGCGCGTTGCAAGCGACGAGAGCATCTAGGATCGCCTGGATTCGGGGCAGTGGCCAGTGAATCAAGCTTTTCAGGTTGTTGCCTAGGCCTCGTACATTTTTTCTAGCTGCTGATTGATCGCCTCCACGTGCTCGAAATCCTTAAGAAGTTGAGATACCAAAGAACCATAGGTCAGACACAACAACTCGGAATTCTGCGAAGAACGGGCCCGCAGCCGCATCAGCAATTTCAGCCGCAAATAAACATGGTGTAACACCAGAACCGCTTCACTAGTCGCAGTCGCACAGGGAGAGGAGGCAGTAGAGCAGCAGTCGCTAGCGGGGGTGGTGTGCCTCACAGCCTTTTCGATTCTTTGAGAGATCGCCTCCCATTGCTTCTGATACTTTTCTTTCGACATCTTCCTAAACCCTAGGCCGTAACCCTGGGGATGTGCGCTGCCGACTGAGGCACTGCAAAATGCGCACTGCGGCAGCGTGAAAAGCTGCAATTTTCAGGTGTTATTGCAGCTGCGGCAGCAGGCACGGGCCTGGTTGTCTTCCCGCCAAAGAGAGGCCCTCCAGATGCGCCAGCAGCAGAGGGGCATGTATCAACGGTTAAGGAAGGAAGGACTCGTGTGTGTTGGAGCAGGGGCCCCCCAAGGTTCCCGCTGTGACGGTTTATTGCTGCTGCTCGTGTTGCAGCCAGTGCGTGTTACTGCTCTCCCAGCTGCGAGGCTGAAGAGCGATTCTCGACAATTTTAGACTACAAGGTTAATACCTTCACCCCAGTTCTCAGTAGCAGCTGCTGCAACAGTAGGTGCGCATGCAGCAGCTGCGGCGGCAGCAGCTGCCGCAGCCAGCAGCAGCGGCGGCAGCAATCTGTAGCTCTTGCGACTAAGAAAAGAAGCGTGTGGCGCAGCAGGCTCCCGAATGAATTAATGTTCGGAGTGCTACTACGTATTAGGCAAAGAGGGGAGGGTGGGGGCTTCACGCGCTGCTGCTGCTGCTCCTGCTCCTGTATTGGGCAGCAGCGGCTGCGGCTGTGTAGCTACTGTGCGCATTTCGCTGTCTATTAAACTGCTGCACCAGCAGCAGAAAAAGGCCCCGCCTCAAGGACATGGGACCTCATGGGCTCGAGAAAAAAAGCCTAGGGAACTGGTGCTGCAGCCGATGGACAGCTCGGGGGAACGCCTCCCGACCTGGACGTATCGCTGAGCAGTGTCGAGGGTGTCGTAGAGCGACAGCACCGTCACCACTAAGAACAGCCGCAGCTGCTGCTAGAGCGGCGGAAGGGCCTTCCAGAAGGCCTCTACTGGCGCCAGTTTGCTGCAGCAGCCACTGCAAAAGGCCAACTTTCGCAGGATTTCCGCTGCACTGGCTAGTCTCCTGAGTGTTTCGGGGCCTCCAAACCCTCCTTGTCTACCTTGTCTGCACTGGCGATGCTGGGCAGGCGGAAAAAGCCAGCAGGGGGGACTGCCCTTTCCTCGGGCACTGCTTCAGGGGGAGGGAGTGTTTCTGGAGGCTCAAGGGCGCGTTGGAGGGAAGAGTTGGACGGGGGAGATGCAGCGGTGTTGCCAGCTTTGAGCGAGGAGGACTTGCGGCTGCTGCAGGAAGACGAGGAGCAGCAGCAACCGCAGCAGCAACCGCCCCAGCAGGGGGACGCTGCCTGCGAGGACTCGCAGCAGCAGTCGCAGCAACAACGGCCAAAGAAGAGGCGGCGGTTCGAGTGGATGGACTCAGATGATGAGAGCGTCACGGCGAGCAGCAGCAGCGGCAGCGAGCAGGAGGAGGAAGCGCCGAAGGAGGACGGCAAACCGGAGCAGCAAACACAGCAGAATGAAGTGGAACGGGAGTCCTCCGACATGTCTCGCAGCCCCTCACCCGAGTCTTCGAGTGCGGACCCTATCTCCCCCGTAGCAGTGGCACATACTGCACAGAGGGGACTGGACTTGTGCTCTAGAGGCAGAGACAGCAGCAGCAGCGTGAGCAGCGCCTCTCCGGGGGGCCCTGCGCAGGCGCACGGCCCCCGCAGCTCGAGCTGCGGCAGCAACAGCAGCGGCAACAGCAACAGCAATCCGGCTCTTTCTGCAGCGTCTACTCTGGATGACCTCACTCCAGAGCAACAGACGGCAGTTGATTGCCTGCTCCTCACGAATCTTCCCTTCGAGGTGTGCATACCCTCCGTGCGGTCCTGGGTGGAAACCACTGCAAACACCAAAGTTAGGGCCATTGAAGCAGCGCCCTTCCTGCCTCCAGGAGCTCCTCACCACGGGTCGAATGCCACTTTGCCGGGGGTGCCTGCTGGTCCCCTGCACTACCAGAGCACCCGCTGCAGTGGTGGGGGGGCCCCTCACTTTTTTGGAGGGCCCTCGGGGCGAGCTAGAGAGCACTACGGGAAGGTGTTTGTGCAACTGGAGGGCTCTTCGCTTGTACGTGGGGCTATAGGGGCCCTTGAGGGGGCCCCTCCTTTGCAAGGACGCCGTGTGTCGGTGTTCCTCGCCTACAGAGTTGGTGGCCGATTCTGTCCTCTTCAAACAAAGGCCCAGATACGCTTCTTCGGGAAACAGCAAATGTGGAAACACAGAGATAGGGAGCAAGAAAGAGAAAAGAAATTTAAGCCTCTTGATGGCGGCTGCGTCTGGCTCGCGTAGGGGCCCGCGGTAAGGCTACGGCTGGTGGTGTTAAGCAGCCTCTCTGTGGGTAGTAGCTTCGACTCACCTGGGGTCACCCCGTCGCTAACTGGCTCGCGTGCTAGCTACTTAAGCTGCTGTCACAGCGTGCTTGGCTGGCAATTTGTTATATAGCGTGTTCGCTAGAACACGAGCTCTTCGAAGAGCTTCTCGTGCGCGTGTGCGCTGATGGCTCATGGTACTGCGGACCATGAAAGACTTGCGTCGCTAGCTAGCTGGCAAGCAAGCTGGCTGAAGCCAGCTAAAGGCATTGCTGTTATCACACGTCCTGCCTTCGCGTGTGGGGGCTACCTCTATACATTTGCAACCGTAGCTAAGGGGATATTCGTCGTGGCTCGGGTATGTTGTCTTAGCTAGCGGGAGCGATCTACATATAGCACGAAACGGCTAGTATGCACTAGCAGAAAAAGGAGAACGGGGAGAGTAGAGGCTGACAGCGGGGTAGAAGCAACTAGGGCGGACAGCGCTAGGCCACACTCTAGGAGCAATGGAGAAAGATGACAACAAGGCCCATGGGTCCTTTGAGAAAACAGAACAAACGTTACACGCTGTTGTATAAGGCGCTGCAGATTATGGTGGCCTCTGCAATGTCTCGGAGGGATCCTGCGCAACTTATAGCCTAGCTCCTAGTCGCGTGTTATGCGTTGCGTACCCCAAAGCAGGGTGAAACACGCGCCTTAGGGCGTACAAGTCAGCTGCTCTCCCCCGTCCTTCCCCCTCTCCCCAGCGATGCTGCAGAGCTCCATCTTAAGAATCTTCCAAGGATCGACAGCACTTAAGATTCTAGCTAAAGCAGAGGGGCCTCACCACTCTCCTGTGCCTCTGGGCTCGGTTTGCGTAACAAGGACTCAGCCTCCTTACGCAGTTTGCGTGGTGTACTGTGCCTTATGACTCGCTGTTATTCCAGGCGGCTGCCGCTGCATAGTAGCTTCGTCATGTTCGTCTTGTTGTGGACCTCCCTTCGCTCCCCTCCCTTTGTCGAGCTGTTCGCGATACTGTTCTCCCTGATGTCCAAATCTCCGGAGTCTTGGAAGCAGGGGCAGTAGCAGCAGTTGCTGTCCCTGCCCCTGTCGATGCCAAGATTCCTTCGCAGGGGATCCTCTTTGGAGCTCGAATAAGGTAGGTAGGGATGCTTGTAGGTCAGTTGTTACCTCCTTATCAATCGTGGACACCATAAACAACTAGTACAAAGATATGCGGCTCGGGGCAGCTGCCTTTCTTTCCTGTCTTCCTCGCAGTTCCTTCTGCGAAATACTGCCAGCAACTGCCAGCGAGTCAAGCAAAGTGCTGTAGCAAGTACCCCAACCACATAGCTTTTTGTTGCCATTGATTTGTTGTTTTGGGGGTTCTTGCTGGCTTGGCTCCTGCTGAGCCTCTTACCCTTGCGGCTGCTGATCTTGCTGCTGCTATTCTTGTTCTTGGTGGTCGTGCGGCTACTTCTGTTCCTATTGCTGTGTTTGGAATTGTAGTTGTGGATCTGGCTGTTGCTCCTGATGCTGATTCTGAAGCGCCTGCTGGTCTTGCTTCTGCTGCTCTTGCTCCTGCTGCTGCTGATGCTGGCCCTGACGTACGTGTTGGTGCTGCAGCTCCTGGTCTTGCTCCGCATGCTCTTGCTCCTGCTTGCTTGGCTCCTGCTGCTGCTGATGCTGGTCCTGATGCACTTGTTGGTGCTGCAGCTCCTGGTCTTGCTCCGCATGCTCTTGCTCCTGCTTGCTTGGCTCCTGCTGCTGCTGATGCTGGTCCTGATGCACTTGTTGGTGCTGCAGCTCCTGGTCCTGCTCCGCATGCTCTTGCTCCTGCTTGCTTGGCTCCGTCTGCTGCTGATGCTGTTCCTGATGCACTTGTTGGTGCTGCAGCTCCTGGTCTTGCTCCGCATGCTCTTGCTCCTGCTTGCTTGGATCCGTCTGCTGCTGATGCTGGTCCTGATGCACTTGTTGGTGCTGCAGCTCCTGGTCTTGCTCCGCATGCTCTTGCTCCTGCTTGCTTGGCTCCGTCTGCTGCTGATGCTGTTCCTGATGCGCTTGTTGGTGCTGCAGCTCCTGGTCTTGCTCCGCATGCTCTTGCTCCTGCTTGCTTGGCTCCGTCTGCTGCTGATGCTGGTCCTGATGCACTTGTTTGTGCTGCAGCTCCTGGTCCTGCTCCGCATGCTCTTGCTCCTGCTTGCTTGGCTCCGTCTGCTGCTGATGCTGTTCGTGATGCACTTGTGGGTGCTGCAGCTCCTGGTCTTGCTCCGCATGCTCTTGCTCCTGCTTGCTTGGCTCCTGCTGCTGCTGATGCTGTTCCTGATGCACTTGTTTGTGCTGCAGCTGCTGGTCCTGATGCACTTGTTGGTGCTGCAGCTCCTGGTCTCGTTCCTGCCGCCTTTCCTCCTGCCTCACTTGCTCCTCATGCTGCTGATGCTGTTCCTGATGCACTTGTTGGTGCTGCAGCTCCTGGTCTTGCTCCGCATGCTCTTGCTCCTGCGGGTTTGGCTCCTGCTGCTGCTGATGCTGGTCCTGATACACGTGTTGGTGCTGCGGCTGCTGGTCTTGCTCCTCCTGCTTTTCCTCCTGCGTCACTGGCTCCTGTTGCTGGTTTGGCTCCTGCTGCTTTTGGTGCTCTTTCTGATGCACTTGTTGCTGTTGCGGCTGCTGTTCTTGCTCCAACTGGTTTGGCTCCTGCTGTTCTTGCTGCTGGTGTCCTTGTTGCTCCTGCTGCGGCTGCTGCTCTTGCTGCTGCTGTTCCGGCTTTTGTTGGCCCTGTTGCTCGCGCTGATGCTGCTCGTATTTCCCCTGCTGTGTTTGCTCTTGCTGATCCTCCTTTTTGACTTGCTCTTGCGTTTGTTCTATTTGGTCTTGCCGTTGCCGCAGATGGTCCTTTGGCTGCTGTTCGTCCTGCTGCTCCTCCATTTGTCCCTGTACTTGGCCACGTTGCCACTCTTGTTGCTCTTGCGTATGCTCCACTTGCTCGCTCTGGTCATCGGCGTGTTGTTGGTGCAGCACTCGGTGCTGCTCAAGCTCCTCTTGCTGGCTCTGCTGCTCTAACTGCACTTGGTTTTGTTGCTCGAGCTGCTGCGCTGTTGGCGTGTGCTGCGGCTGGTCATACTGCTGCAGGTGCTGCTGATTGCCCTTTCGCTGCTCTGTATGAAGCTGCATTTCCTCGTGATGCTGCTCCTGTCGCTGACCGTGCACCTGCTCTTGCAGTCCCTGATGCTCGTTACACTGCTGCTGCTGATGAGATTGTGTAGGGTCAGCATGCTGCAGATGGCGCTGCAGCTTTGCTGAATTCCCTTCCTCTACCATCTCCTGCCTCCTTGAACACTCGCTCGAGAACCGCTTCCCTGTGGTTCTCTGGACATCTGTAGGTCGTTCAGCCGGAGGTTTAGAAGGAACAGCAGACGTCCTTCTCGGATCTTCAGCAGCAGTGCTCCCACGGGCCTCTCCCGAGAGGTGGCCAAGGGAATCTTCTTCTTGCGTTGAAAGCCTTGATCTGCTGCGAAAGCTGCTCATTCGCTTGTTGGTCCGCGGTTGTGGCCTCTTGTTGCGGCTGCTGAGGGATTCAAAAGGTTCGCTGATAGAGAGGGTGAGTTTGCTGAAGATGTTTGACTCCCTCTGCTCCTTCTTCGGCAGCAGGCTCGAGTGAGACGCCGCAATAGGTCCTCTCTCATGACGCCCCTTGGATGCATTGAGAGAAGAGCTCTCTCTAAGGGCTTGTTCATTCTCTAGAGATTCTGCTGGACCTTCTTGTGCAAACAAAGCTCCCAAGTGGGAGCCACCAGGCGCGAGTCCACCAGCCGCAGAGGACCGGATTGGCTGCCCTTCCTCTCCGTCGCAGACAGTTGGAGAGAAGCTTTCCAAGTCGACTCCATAGCGAACGCGCAACTTTGTAGCCAGCATGTAAGCGTCGTCAAACACTGAAGGCAAACATAAAAGCGAGAGTGAGAAAGACAAAGCTATTTGCCAATTAGACGGGGCGCGAGAAGAAGGGCGAAAGACGCCTTATGATCGCCATCCTGGTTGCCACCGTTCAGCTCTGCGTATAGCCTCTGTTGCAACAGAACGCAGCCATAGTGGACTCTTTCTATGCCTTTTCTGAAACCATGGTATGAGTGTCAGCCGTACGAGGGTATTTTTCTGCAACGTAGTCAATCTCCTTCATGCTCTCCGGGGAATACAGAGCGTATACCTGCCGGAGGCGATTCTGCAAGCACATTTCATTTTCCCATATGTTGGCGGTGGCTTGATAAATCCACGTAGATGCATAGCAAGCCGTACAAGAAGGCCTAAGTCGCTCGTAGCTGCCCGTGCTTGTACTGCTCTAGGTGCTTACCTGGGGAGGTGGCTACCAGGAACACTATTTGAGTATTAAGGGAAATCTGTATCTAGTTGGCTACGGGGTACGCCTCTCCAAAATTGAAATTAAGATACACTCAACTGCCAGGGACCCCAAAGCACACCGGCTGTATCCTCTGCTGCGCTGTAGATGCAGTGGATTGAGTGTTAGGCCCAGGCGCTGTACGCTGCTCAATATGCCCAGACTCCCCCAAATTTAACTTTTTGGAGGGCTGGCTAGACTGGGTACCGCAAACAATGCGGGATTGTGGCTAAGAGAGGCGTCTCTACAGTGGAAGTTGACCTTTAAAAGGATGTTGATTCCCGACTTGTATCTTTCTCGCAGAAAGGTGTCAACCATTGCAGGTTTGAACAGGGCCTGATCCGCCACTGCCTGCACATTCACAGGGGCACCTCTAAAGGTGTTTTGATGCAATTTTTAACACAGCGTAGTCCAAATCGCCCCCCATTCTTCCCTGCAGACGAAAGAGGTCTCTTCTCGCTCGAAAAAGGGCAGCCTGCGAATCACTTGCTGCACTGCTGCCGAATCCTGCAGCAGCCGCTTCAGCATGTATGTCGCTATCCTGCCCTCTCATATTCCCTAGTGCCTCGTTATCCTGCATCTAGCTTTGCCTCTGAATGATCTGTCTTTGTCTGTCCTATGCTTCTACATCTTTTAAGAGGGATTTACTTCCAGTTTGAGGGAGTCTTGGCGCCGTTTCATCAACTTGAAATAATCCACCAACATTGCCTCTACACCTAAAAGCCGCAGGGAACACAGTGTCCGGGAGGGGTTGCCTATCCACAAGGCCCAGCATTCAAGCTCGAGCTTTTAAAACCTAAACGCAACGCGGTAAACCCTAAAATCGTGTTCCTGCTGACTCTGCTTGCGTCTGACAGAGCAGTTCGTCATGTCCACCCCGTAGTTCTTCCTTAGGAATTCATTTAACCGCCAAGACTGACATACAGACCGCACAGGAGAAGGTGCCTTTTGCCTAATGCATTAGCGGACTTTCTATTTCCGGCGGCCTCTAGTTGACTGCCTTGACCTACAACCCCTGAACCCCCAAACAGCCACCCGTACCCTAAGAGCTTACGCGAAAGGTAAATCGCAGACGTGCATAACGATAACTACCAATCCCGTGGTTCAGCAAAGCTATACGTGAAACTAAGGGTTAAGCTTTGTAGCATTACGTCTCCATCAAAGTCTTCAAAGATGCGGTCAACTTGGGACAACCGCTGAATATCATGCTGCCTGAAGAAGTTCACCAGCTTCCGTTTGTTAACTGCAGAGTACAGGGATAAAACCCAGACCTTGATGCAGCGCATCTACCTGACTCGTTGCTAGGCATTGAAGAGTCATTACTGTGGACAAGCAGCTGGTGCAATGGCGTTTCTAGGGCTCAACGCTTTTTGAGCTGAAGGATGGAGAGCCTCACTGTCCCTAGCCTGCTGTCTGACGTCTGTTAGGTCTTTCCCGTGTGCCTCTTTGAGCTCCGCATTAAACTCCTATGCACATATGGAACTCTAGACTCTTTATCAACAAGACGAAGCCCTAGACCATAGGTTGTCGTCATTGAACCTTCAAAGTGTGGGCATTTACCTTTTGTCGCGAGATATTGAGCACGACCATCCCCTTCGCCTTGGGAACCATGGGAGGGTTAAAGCACGCATAAAAGAGTTTCAACTCATCCTGCAAAAACAAGCCCCAAAGCCAAAAGCCTGCGTTTTGGCGCAATAAAACGACCTGTAGTGTCTCGTTAAACTCTGCCTTAACTGCGAACTCCAAGCAAAAGCCGCAATTCCAATTTACTGAACTGCAGCCTGATTTGCTCATTTTTCAGATCCTCATGTGCAATCCGTAAAGCCCGGCCTGGGTCTCACGAGCATGACATGGAATTTGGCGAGCCGGTATCCAAATGCCCTTGCAGCGATGGGTGCTGTCGATTGCACCGCTCCTTTCGACACCTTGGTAATCTCGCCCGTTAAATTAAAGGCTTTCCCACCAAAATTAATCTCCAGCTCTCCCTTTCCTAAGACGCCTAACGTGATGTACATGTCTATCGAGCCTGTATCCGTCGCTGAGGTGACACTGCCTCGAAGCCGACGTTCCAAAGAGTAACTGAGATCGCCCTGTGCGGCCCCCCCAAAATTTCTGGTGCGTAAATCGCCTCGTGGGGAGAGCTCGGCCGCTGACTCCGGGAGCAGTATATCTGGACACCTCACCTCCCATTCGGGTATTCCATTTAAAAAGAAAAGAATTTTCCCCGATCTACGGCAGAACAAGCAGCCGATCACGTCACCCTCCTACAGCACATTCAGGCACCAAACGATAGGCAACCGCGTATAAGGCATACAGTGACGATCCGTATGTAGTTTCGAAATTAGCCCTAAGCCCTAAGTAGCTGCGCTCCACAAAGAGCGTACCATTAAAACCTGCCCATCCGCTGCCGAATGCTGGCTGCCCACACACACTTGTCCTGCATAAAACAGCGCACAGACCTCAGCGAGGAGTGTTTGATCCAAGCCCACCTCTACTAAAAAGACGCAACACACTAGCATGATCAGTGTGCTGTCTCCTCAATAATTGTTAACCTTTGTCCCAATCCTTTTCTTGGCGCCTGGCCTGCTAGGGATCTCGCTAAGGCGCTAGCTAGCCAGCTCGCGAGCTTGCTCCATTCCGGCCCCCTAATTAGTAGGCTCGCTTACGGGCTTTCTATTTAGTGAACAGTTGGGTGGGTTTTCTCTCGCACTTGTGAATGCCTGCTGCATTTTTCCTTCCTCACGAGTACTAGCTAATAAAACTCTCTGATCAGCACTTGGTGCAAACTACCTCCCTCATAGTGCCTTTTGCTGGTTTAGCCTCTCCAGCAGCACCAATAGGGGGCACTCATCAGTAGGCGCGGCTAGCATCCCAGTAAACATATCAGGAGCAGCCACAAGACTTTTCTACGCACGACTTCCATATACCGTGGCTCTGTAAAAGGCGTATCTAAACGCGCGCGTCGTACCAGTGGAAAGAAGGGCGCAAGAGCCCGGAAGGAGGCCAGGGAGATGGTTCTGGGGGTATGGGGCAGTGGCAACACCAATTGACACGTAGGACTTAAAAGGAACAAACGACAGGAGCTCTACCTCGCAGTAAACCTCTGACTGAGCAGCCGCACACCAGGAATACGCCAAGATTTTAGGGATTGAGTCTCTAATGGCATGGGGAAGGCCGTAGGTTTCGGGGAGAAAGAGACGGGGGTAGCACATCTACAGTATCGAGATGCAAGCTCCCTTTCTAGTTGCTTTATCATATAACGTAATCACGAGTTACCTGCTGGGGCAATGGAAGGGTGGACTGGAGCACGATAGGTGAGGCCTCAATTAAAACAGCTTGGCAACTCGCTTCCGGTTGTTTCTTTTCAGCGAGTGGGAGCGCAGGGCTAAGCCTTGCATACTTCTGGAGCAGCCCCTTCTCGTTCAGCTGGTCTACGAGCTGCCGCATCGTATCGAATCGCACAGTGCAGCATCCAGCCTGCAGTACCTCTATTTCACAGAGTTTGGCGTCTCCTAGAGGAGCCCGAGTGGGCCGCTCGGAGGTCCCTAAACCCCTATCCTCAATCTGTGAGGAGGGGCCTCTCAAATTAAGGGGTAACCCGTCGACCATTTGCACCACGGGGGGGCGTACACCCATCACAGAGCTCCACCTCCTGCGAGCGCGGGCAGGTATAGCGGAGGACTCCTCTGATGCTTCTGTACACTCTTTTTGGAGATTAGGCGGCAGTTGCAAGCGCCACTGAGATGGGCCCCTATCCATCACCTCAACCCTTAGCAAAAAAAGCCGCAATCAGTATACCGGGGTGCTGCTCAATGATTTGAAGAGGGAAAGCTCATAAGGCACCCACTATATCCTCGAGAAAATAATCAGCGAAAAGAGGAGCTCCTTCACCTTGCGGGAGCCGCTCCAGACTACAAGCCGAATTCTCAAATGTTTCTTGCCTTATCCCGGGGTAGGTGCGGCAAATGCCACTAACAGTGGCAGATATATACATATATATGAAAGAATCGAGGACCCTAAGAAGAGTGTGATCCTTCACTCTGCCTCTTAGAGCAGGAGTAAATTGACTTTTGGAATTACAGCTCCATTCTACACATATAAATCTATGTTCCCCCAGCAGTACCAGCCTTTACTCTTTATAGGTCTGTACAAAAACCTGCAACTACACCCTAAAGGGAAGCTGCGAAGGGCTAAGTCTTGCTTCCTACTGCCTCCAAAGAACTCCCATAAAGGCGGTGTAGAGAACTACAATGTTGAGCGAGCCGCCAGCAACTCAAGATAAGCAGTATAGTAAAAATAAGCAGCTGCAGCAAAATTAATATTGCACTCAGCGGCAGCACCAAGAAGAATGACAGCCGCCAAATCATCGTGTGCCTGAGCATCTCACCAATCCTGATCAGTCAGTCTGGCAGGACGTTGATCGGCAATTTGTCTCTGGATCTTAAGCCCTTCTTCTCTGTATTCATCGGAAAAGAGCCGGCATATGTCCGCCTCTATCCCTGCGGTTTTGGGGCCAGAACCGCAAAAGTTCCCCATTGTTCTGCGTTGTAGTGTGTTGGCTCTTTTCCTCTCGCCCCTCTCTGTTCTCCTTGTCTTGTCGTGGATCCTCTATTGTCTTGATTTCCGTTTATTGTTTTCTGTTTGACTGAGTGATGTTGCTGTAGACTCGGGTAAGACCCTAATCGTCGCCGTTTGTTTTACCGAGTACTAATCCGGCCCTGAATCTTGGAAAGGCTCACGGAATTACACTTGCGGAGCGAGTGAAAGCAGAAGGCGGTGATGCTGGGAGAGGCTGGGAGTGAGCGGAGAAGGGCTCTTAAGGGCGAACAGTTAGCAGAAGGGGGAGGCCGAAAGGACAGGGAGTCGAATGCCCTCTGTCTCGCCTTGTGTGCATGATTCTAGAAATCAAGCCATAGTGAGGATGTCAAAAGTCACGGAGTCTGTGTATAGTGGTCTTTTTCTTGCTTATTGCATTCCCTGTTTCGTCTATTTGCGCTGCTTTCTGTTTTAGCGAGAGCAATAGGCGGCAGGGGCTCGGGGCTCCCTCACTCCCCTGCTGCATCATTTCATTTCATCCCTATGAAACTACTATTTTTTAATTATATGTGACTAATTAGCATTTCCTCTTCCTTTCCTCTAGCCAAGCAGCCAGCAGACAGCAGAAGTATTGCATGCAAGGTCCCCGAGGGCCATCGAGATGCTGCTGTTTTCTCATGTCGGTTCATGTACGCTATATACGCAATCTTGGTTTATAAGAATCAGCTCTTTAAGTGCGTAAGAGGTGCATGAGGCTATATTAGGCTTATTTATGGTTATGGCTTGTGGCCCTATCGAGGTGACCTTTTTTTCAGTGCCAACGGCTGAAAGGAAGAAGGTCTTTTTCTACATTAGTACTCCACTACCTGAAATATATGTGCAAATCGTCAATAAACACATCACCTATCGACGTGGAGCTACCTAAAAAAGTACAAGCAAGCATGCTTCTCTCAGTTCAGGTGTGTCAAGTCAAGCGTTGTACGATTGTCGAGAGGTAAGTGGGCGCATGCGAACCAAGAAAGTAGAACCCTTCATTCTGCTTTTTTGTAGCTCATACGCTCATTAAGGGCTAGAGGTCTACCTCCCAAAATATATTTTACTTTAGCAGTCCTTTTTCTTTCCTGGAAATTGGTTGTTCGCCCTTGCCCTGAGGCCACATACTCCTTGGCTACAGGAAGAATGAGACACCCGGGCTCCGATTTGCTAAAATTGCATCAAAGCTACAGATCGGTGCACGGAAAAGGCTACACGCTACATAAGACGCACGCCCCAAACTCCTACAGTGAAGGGCCCAAACCTGCTCTAAAATGCAAGACAAAACAGGCCTTTCTGTTACCAGTTCTTGTGCATTGAAGAACCAGCTACCAAGTGTATGATGAAAGGTGCTTTTTTAGGAAGACACATATCTCCAGAATCAAGAAGGAGTATAAAAGCTTTGAATGCTATCAATCAACAGAGCTCCTCCCTGCCAGCGCTCTTCAGAGCTCCCGATGAGAGGACAGGGCCAGATAGGGTGCGCACAGCTCCACTCTCTAAACGATGCGAGCATTCACAGTTGAATGGGCAGATCATCCAACGCACACGGAGATAGCGCTGTGTAAACTCATATGGAGCTAATCGTACTATGTAGTACTAGGTAGTCAATTCTCTATCAATTCTGTCAAGCCTAACGAATGTGGAAGAAAGTGTCAAAGTTCAGCTCAGCGTGCTGCAAAGTGCACGTTTTCATTGTTTTTCAGCATTGGAGGCGACGGCGTCCTCCCTTCACTGCCTCTGTACACTGCTCCCTGTCCGCTCAGAGGATTGTTAGCTACATGTAAGTCTCTCTCTGCATCTAGATTTGCGCATATTATGTACTGCAGATGGCTGCGTATGATAATAGAGCACTGTGCGGTTTGTGTATACCCATCTAACCACAAAACGCTAGCAGATGCATCCCGCTAACTCAAGCGTAACGCTCCTGTTAGGTATATGGACGGATTTGTCAGCATGAGAACGCACGCTTTAAAACTTTCAATATTCTAAAATCCTACACAAAGCCCTTTTTTTCAAACCAGACCAGACCAGAGGCCCGACTTGAAGAATAAGCACTTAACAGGTCAGCAGGAAACAGGAATGGCAGCTTTGTTTTACGTGTTTGTACACCCCCGTGGGCCTCGCTTTATGGAGTCCTGGTAAGAGACAAGCCTCCATCCGCCTCTCAGCGCTTTGCAGCGTGCACGCACTTCTGCACGCCGATAGGATATACGTATATAAGCATATATATAAAGATGTGTACATATCAGTATAATATATATACACATACATATGTACATATGCGTACATGCAGAAAGCCCTATCCGTGGGTCCACAAGTGCAAATATATAAATGTAGCTAATGTATTTGCATCTAGGTATGCATGCTCAGGTGTATGCAAACTGGCTATTTGCACATGCAGCCCAGCATGCTCTCTCACAGTAAATGCTGCTTTTTCTCTGCCTTGGTCCGTTTCGACACATACGTACGGATCAGAAAAATAACAGCGATCCATCTGCATATCCTCCCTGTCGGCAGTCTGCACGTCGACGTATATGAATGGTGGATATAAATGTGGAAGTGCCCACATCATAAATGCACACATACGCCCATACAGGTGTATATATATACTTGCATAGATGTGCATACGAACGTGTAAAGACACGTGAGTATATGCACTGATGGTAATAGAGATTTATATATCTTGCATTGTACATACAGATGTCCGAGTGCCCGAAATGGATTTAGGGCACACACACATGGATGCGCGCAAACGTGCACAGACTCCATGTAGATATCTGCATAGCTCAGTAGACATATAAATCTGTAGGGATGCGTATATACATTCGCATGGTATAGACGTGTATGTGCACAACAGTAAATGCCTGTACCGCTGATTCCTCCTCGCCCCTATTTTTTCCTTCATATGATTTTTTTGGATCTGAAAAACCTCTTGAAGAAGAATCCGGAGATGACACTTGATGCCACGAGGAGAAGTATGTTGATACCGCAATAAAAGATAAGCCTGCTGGCCGTTGCTTCGTTTTCTTGTCGCATATGCTCTTCCTTCTCTCGCATAAACAAAATGTTGTTGTGATACAGCTTCAGCTTGTCTTGCAGCTGCACCAGCTGCACCATGACTTCATCCAGATGCTCTGCTTTCGCTAGCTGACTGTAGTCTCTAGCTGCTGGGCCCCATAGAAGCTGAATGTCAACTGTTATCTGTTGCTTCGAGATGTTCTTTACGCAAAACATGTGTACACCCGGCTTAGTGCTCGTGAAACCTGTCTTAATCTTATCCCTGCTGCTCTGCTGGAACACCGGTGTCTTATTTACGGGGTCAGTTACTTGCACATGCATCAGCAGGGGCCCTGTGGCTGCCCCAGGGGGGCCGCCTGTTGATGGATGTGTCACTTTGAACTCGCCAACAATCAAGACATGCTTGCTTAGCTGCTCCCCGATACAACGGCGCTGCGCCGGCCCCAAATCTATCGCAGCTTCGAAGCCAAAGGTGCCTATACACCTGAAAGAAAGGAGGGAAAATAGCAGTAGCAGGGGACAAAAAAGAGAGCACTGACCCATCTTCGTCTCGCGCTGGATGAGGAGAAGGAGAAGGAAGTGTCTTTTTTTTGGCTGTCGCGTTTGTCAGCTTGAGTCTAGAGTTCAGGGTTGGGCGTTTGGGGTTCCAGGGAAGGTAGACAGAGAGGGGCCCTGTTACGTCTGAACCCACGGGCCCACCCACTACCAAGAGAAGAATACAGTCACTGGGAAGAGGGAGGCGTGAAGGATGCTTTCTTTCGGTTGGCGCTCAGAAAAAAAGAGAAAACGAGGAAGAGCAAAAGGAATAATACAAAAGAGCACCGACCGCTTCGAACTTCACATCAACATGTGCATGCATGCAGCGCCCTGCGTCTTGCGAAAGGAGTAGACTACTGTACTTTTTCGTCTGTCTTTTTGTGGATTCTCCTGTATTACTCCTTTGAAAATCAATAACCACAATAAACACTCATTTTCCATGCTTTCTCTGTGCGGATTATTATTGGCTTTCCAGCAGGCTAGAGCAGTCGACTATACTGAGACGGCGCAGCTGGTGTTTTGTCGGAGTTACAAGCTGCATTACCATTACTCTTTTGCTTAGGCCTGACCCATCCTTTTGTCGTTTTTGACGTTCGATGTGTGATCGGCATTCGACAGCATGATGCTACTAATCACTCCGGTTTTTGCTGCGATGACAAAGGCAAAGGAACCAAAGTGGAGGGACAGTGAGAAGTACAACTGATATGGGAGGTGGCAGATGGGGAAACTCCTTCCCAACTGCACTGTATAATTCGCTTCTTGACCTATGGAAGCAGCAGGCAAATGCTAGGATAAAATTCGAGTAAGCCAACTCAAACATGAGCGCCACCGGAAATTGCTTGTAAAAGAATGCTTTTGTCGGGTATACCACGTTACATTTGACTAGAGCGGGCTACGGCAGGTCGCTGAATGTTCAGTAATATGCGGTGGACGGATGTTCCATTCAATTTCTCACTCACAGTCACCGTAGGTATGGTGCCACTTATGGCTGATCCCCCGATGCAGTACCTTTCGAATAGCCGCCGTAGGAAGACTGTAGCTTCTCACGCAATGCTCAAACTCGAGAGTTAGTTCTTAAGTATTCCTTGTGAAGAGATTCAACCATCACCCCACAAGGTTTATGCATGAGGAGAGCGAGGACAGCCTGAGTGCGCGTTGTTGCAGCCTATGAGGAGTAAAACACTCGCACCCAGTTGCACGCAATAGCCTAGCGCACAGCCGCATAACACCCACCATCGAAAATCAAGCTAAACCTGATGTGCAAAAAGTAGAGGTTACAAATAGCCAAACCTGTTTGTAAGTTCTTATTGGTCTTGAAGAATTTGCTTCAGACTAATTTTGTGCAGGAGAATGTGCCCTAGTGTAGATTGACCTTCAACATCGGGCATAGGTAAAACATAGGAGTACTTGTTTTGATCCCAAACGAATACATCTGAGCAAGCGAAAACCTATAGATGAACATGCATTGATGAGTGCTGTGAGGCCATTTCGATATTTGTTAGTCTGGGAGCTCACATAAGCGTACACCCTCGCCTTGGAATATCGAAGAGTTGTTGCACGTTACGAGAGCTGTATTGTAAGCTTCCACATATTTTTATTACATCCCTAAAGCAGTGGAGCTGCTGCAAGTGTGCCCTTGTTGCATTCATCTTCTAGCTCTTGCGAAGCCAGCGGACGCAGTTGGCACCACAGTTTGCTGCCGGGTGCCACGGGTCTGTTAATATAGAAAATACTTTGGCTTTTGCTGCAGTGAGTTAAACCTTTTTCACATCACAAAATAACTCAAGGTATTCTTGAAACGCATATCACCGTTGGGAAGTCTTAAACCTCTGATACTCCCGAAGGGACCTAGAGCTGTCTACATGGGAAACCCGCGGTACGCATTTGTTTGTTCAGGAGCTGTGTCCCAGGCGTCTGTGTGTAAGAAGATCTCTATTTCGTAAGGTGACCAGGCCTCTCCAGTAGTTTGATGAATTTCGGTGAAATGACATTGTAGATATGCATGTACATTGGTCTTCTCGTGTCAACAATATACATGATATACTTTGCCTCTGCTGCTTCGAGCAAAACTGTCAAAAGGAATATATTTAAGGTGGAAACGGAAAGAAGGGCACCACGATTTGTACTTTAAAGTCGAGACAGGAGGATAAGACATTCACATCTACATCAGTATAGATATGCATACAGCTACATGCCTTTTAATGAGTTTATATAGTTCTATATAAGTTTCTTTAACTGCAAGAGCTTCTGGTATCGACTCAGATTGTACCCGGTTCTCGTTGCATTTGCACATCCTCCCACTCTGTGTACCAACGTTCAATCCCTGTGCATGATCGGAGCTTTGATGCATCCTTTTCCAGGGAAAAATAAATATACTTCCATTTAGAAAGAAATTGGCGGTAATTTGCCATTATTGGATGACTAAGCCTGTATACACTGGCATGGGCGTACTGTCGATTAGTCTAAATGCGCCCATATATACATCGTCATGTTTCTTTGACATCAGACATGGATTCAACCCCGCGGGTACACTTGTTTGCTGCCACCAATCCGCGGCTACGTATTGCATATGTGACTGCTCGTCAAGGATGGGCGTAGACGAAATCGTTCCTCGTATGGTTTTCTGTTTGGAACCTTCGTCCAAAAGCCATGTGCAATGCAGATGCCTTAGCTATTTAGTGGCCCGTTCAAAGAGCTCCTACCCTCCATCCCTGCATTCCAGAGAGGTTCTGGCTTCGGTGTACGAGGGTGTCCAGCTGCATGTCGTTGCACCCTCCGAGTGCATGGAGCATTTACGCGCAGTTGCACGCTGCAGTTTAGCACACACAGACGCAACATCGAATCGTACATGCAATTAGCTCCACTTTGGAGCAAATCGGTTTTACAGGCGGTCAAACCATTCAACAAAATTATGGTTGAATTCTCCACGTAGTATATCTAACGCGGGGCAATGATCCTTAGTATGACTCTTTTTGTGCGTTTCCGCATGCGGCTATCCGTAAGTAGACCCTTTTAGCCCCAACCCCAACAAAAAGTAGTTCAAAAGTTGTTAGTGTCCTTTTATAGCGGGCAAAGTTACACTTTAACGCTTTACACTGCATCAGTTAGATTTAATCGAGAATTGGTACAGCGTCGACTAAGTAGTTTGTCCACTTGTATATCTTGATTACTGCAGAGTACGATTAGCTCCATACGAGAGTACGCAACGTCGTTTGCGTGTGCACTGATTCCACATGCGAATGCTCGGAGTGCTCCGTGAATGCATCTGCGCACATCTTATCTGCCCTTCTCACCTAATGTCGGGAACTCTGAGAAACGCTGGCATGGGAAGGGAGGAAGCTCCTTTGACGAATATAAGGTAACTTCATATTACGTATTTACTGAGTATGGAGTTCTTTGTCTGTCCATGGACGTCGAAGATGGAGCGTTACACCCTCCGAACGAGGTCATTCCTCTTACTGCCCTCAGCTTTTACGGTAATTGAATGAGGAGGAGACCAACTAGGGTGCGCGTTGCTGCACCCTCTATGAGCTCTAAGCATTAACATCACTCAACAACTAGCGTATACGCACCTAACCTTCATCTTTAAGATTGTTGAACTGGCCCTGAAATGCAAGAAAGAGCATACACTTGGGAATAAAATAAAAACTGCTTATTCTGTACTAATGCTCAAGCAGGTATCTGCAGTGAAGAATTTGCCGATGTGTTACCCTGCCCGCTAGAGCCTCAAACATACTACCTCGGGCTCTCTTCCCTCCCCTATACATGAATATTTGCCATTATCTCAGTGAGTCTGCTGATAACTGTGACTTGTATGTCTACCCAAGAGAATTTAAAGCGTTTTTGTTCTTACCCCTTTTTTCTCGGATAAATCCGATCTTGGCCTTCCTCCCTCTTACTTATCATATATGCGCTTTAAAATGAAGTAACAATACATGCCCTTCACGGTTGCTCTTTTAGCTTCCAGACCCTGTGGTACTGTTGGCTGGGGCTGATCCATTAGATACTCTGCAAGCCCTAAACCATTAAATTTCGGCCATACATCGTAGATTTAGATATAGCTATCATTCTTCTTCTTTTCTTGTGTTGATCCCCTGCTGTTGCCACAGAAAAGCCTTGTCTGTCTCTGGCGTGCCGGGCCCCTCCTCGCATGTATGGGCTGGTATCCAGCCTGTTCTCATCAGTTGGGAGATCTACATGTAAAATTGTTAGAGCCCGATATAGGTGCTGCCATTATATTCACGCCGGTTTTCTAATGCCTTCAGCAGTGACAGAACCTGGCAAGCAGGCAAGGAGGTGCCCGTATACCGTACTTGGCGTCCCGAGGGAGGCATCCCCCCGAACGCTAAGAAGGGCATTCAGGCGTCAAGCCCTCCGGTGCCACCCTGATAAACTTAAGGGGGGGCTCCAGAGGGGCCCTCAGAGCTGTGATGCCGTTGGAAGCTCCGCACAGGAGCTCTCTTCTGGGACTTCGGGGCACTCTCCAGAAGAGACTTTTAGTTTTCTAGAGTTGGTTGAGGCGTATGAAGCACTGACGACCCCAGAAGGGCAGGCGAGCGTGGAAAGCGAAGCTTTAAGTGAGCATCGGGCGTTGTTTCTGCCCTCCGACAAGTTAAAGTAGTGCTATATGCCTCTCCCCTTGCATTGAGGAACACTTGCAGCACTAGTCGCAAGGGAAGGGGGAACCACATCAGTATCTTGCTGTACATAACATACTTAATCTATGGCACGCTGTTCTTTGTTGTACCTACGCTTTCCTTTAGTGCTTCACGTACCATCTCACCGCGCTCTCCTCCCTTCAGTGTATGCAGCATGCCACCTTTTACATTCTTCCTGCATATGAGTTTATGTATTGCTCCTTTTGCAGAAAAAGGCATTCGGCATTGCGCCTGGGTCCGTCTGAAAGAGACCGAGATCCTTGAGGATACTCTGGCAGTTTTTTGCTGCCGCTGTGGTGGAGAGCTTGTGCTTAACCCTCATGAGATCAGACAGGAAGGGCCACTTCAAGAAGAATGTAGCGAGTGCAGCATTAGTTACATATTCTATGATGGATAGAACGCATTGTAGGGACTGCAGGGCGGATCTACGGCGGCCTCCGCAGAGCTCCCCAGATATCCCGCGGAAAGCTTCTCAAGACCTCGATAGTAGACCATAATACACATCCGTGTGCATCCACCTCATGCACCTAACTAGCCACACCAAGAAGGATTGCAGAAGCCTTGACGTAAGCATTAGGAGAGACCTTTTGGGAGGCCGTGGGAATGGACTTCAGAAGGGCCCGAGTGGCGGGTTCCGAATACGCCCTCTACGTTGCCCTTAACAACGGTGACACCTCTCGAGGGGCTCTGGCGAGCCTAGACGGCGATCTAGGTTGCCTGCAGCTTTTTATGTTCTTCAGGGGAAACGCGTTCGCTTTAGGGGTGCAGGATAAGCGGGGAGAGGCAGCCGAAGCAAGAGGAGCGAAATTGCTCCTCTTCGACTAGCCGTCTTGGGCGTCCCATTTTCTTGCAAAATAGGGTTTTTTGTCGAGTGTGACCTAGGGCTTTCGTACACTCAGCACATCAGCCCATTTCACTTGGCTAGCTGATTAGGTATTTCATCTGGTCTGCTACGACGCGGTGCTTATCTCCGCCTTTAAATGTAAAGTTGGTGCCGTCGTCATTAACGGTAGTGGAAAACTTCTCTTTAAACTCTGGGAACTTCCCCGTCTTTCGCCCTTTTGTCAAGTGGAAGGGCCAAAAGGGCCTTCTTACAACGAAGGCGTAGGGCCTATAGGGCGTAGGGGCCTTCTTGGGGTTCCCCGGGGGCCTCTGGAAACATTTGGGGTGGGGTACTCTGAGGCTGGCTGAGACTCGGAGAAGCGCCGCCTCGCCTCGCAGCCTCCATAACGGGGACAACAGCCAGTTAACACAGGTATCCGTAGTAGCATTTTTACTAGCTGACTGAATGCTCGGAGCGCCTAACTGGCCATTACTGCTGGCCGCCACACGGGAAGCAGCGACTAACTTCCTAGGGCTATAGCGGGGCGAAGCAGCTACACACCAACCCACTCGGGCGTGGACGAGCCGTAGAGCGGGGCCTCCTATTTTAGCATTCATACACAAGGCCGTCATGCACCCTGAGAAACAAACACTGGAGAGCACCACACATTTTAGTCTCCACAGAGAGCCACCAAGACCAATCGCTAAGCTGCAATCCGTGAGTGCGCGGGCGCTTCACCCATACACGCAGCCAAAGCTCACAGAATGGGTGCTGAATCCTTGGAGTTCAGTTCTTGGAGGGCGGTGGTGAACTCCTCGGCTGTGGGGGCCCTGAGGTTTCTCGTCTCGGCGCGAGCGGCCACCTGCAAAGAGGCAGAGGCAACTCAGGATGGGGGACAGAGGAGTCACGGGGTGAAGCGGACGGGGTGGCCTCAAAAGCGTTGGGGGGCGAGTGGCGATGACGAATGCGGGTGGTGCCAAGGAGTGCGCAATGGGGAGAGAAAAGACGAAGATCAGCAGAGAGCTGTTCGGGTGAAGCTGGCACAAGCGAGGGGAAGGGGACTACTGGCCTGAAGAACCGACACAGCGGGGGAAAAGAAGACGAAAAATAGATGCAACGCCACAAATAAGAAGGTATGTGTGTGTACTAGGGGGGATATGAAAACAAATGGGCCATACCGCTTTGAGGAGGGCAGCTTCACTAACACCGCTCCCCTCATCAAGTTCCTTTAAGCAATTGGTGATCAGACTGTGCAGAACGTCGCCGCTGCAACACATGTAGCGACCAGCAGCAGCAGAAGACCCTTCATGCACTACTCAAGGCGACAAAAGGCGCACGTCGAAGAAGTAGCGCACCAGAAGAGGCGCCGCATGCAACGAACGCCAGTCGAGCAAGCAGCTAGCCAACCAAGAATCAGCTCACCTCAAGCCTTGAGCGTGTAGTGCCTGAAGGGCCCCTTGGCGCTCCTGGGGGTCTACTGCCCTGCGGGTTCTCCGCTTCTTGGACTCGGCGAGGCCAAGCCCTTCGAACTGTGAGGCCACTTCATCCTCTGTAGCAGTGCGAGAAGGCACATCAGCAGCGGTTCTGGCGTCCTTAGCGGAGGCAGTAGCTCAGCAGCAGCACGGCAAGCGCATGCGGACATAACGGCAGGAAATCAGCAGCAGTCGGCGTGCAGAGAGACAGACCTTCGACGATGGACTTGCCGCCACGAGGCCTGCAAAACAAAGACAAGAGGAGCCGACATTGCAAAAATAAGGTATTCTCAACAGTACAGCTTGTCTTCTTTATTTCCTTCTCACTCCCATCTTCCCGCAGCCCCCGAGCAATTCCCGCAAGAGCGCTGCTAGGTGCCCAGCGAAGCTTGTGTGTGACGGAGCTTCGATTCAGAGGGAGCTGTTTACGTGAACATAGCGTGCAGAATGGCATCCCAGATAGAGCTCTTCTCATCGTGCAAAAAAATAACTATCACCGTTGCTTGAGAAGATGGTAGCTTCAGAGGATCAGCACACACACGAAAAAGCCAGGAAGCTCACCGCTTGGACGTGTCTGCCGCTTCCCTCGCCTTTCGTCTTGCTGCTCTGTCCGCTGCTGTCGTTCGTCTGACAGGAATATCGTCTTCATCAGCGTCAGACTCGTCGTCGTCACTTTCTTCCTGTGCGTCGCTGCTCTCTCCCTCGGACCCGCTGCCTGCACATCCAGAGTCCCCTCCCAGTGCCTCCCCAAAGAGGCTAAATAGCAACAGCTGCTTCGACACCCGCACGTCCTCCTGCAACAGCAGCCACAATGGGCATTTCGGAGCGCATAGGAACTGCTGGAGCACCAGGAGTCACCTGTATCGCGTTAGCACGCATCATCGAACGGATGTACACCCGAGGCGAGCGTCGAACAGCCAAAACAGCTGCAAGACCAAGAGCAGCTCGGCACGAAGATCCCAGCAGCAACACTGCGCACGTACTGGCGTTATCCACTTCCTGAGGCGCAGCTTCGCATGCGCTGTTGCAAGGCGCACAGATGCCTCGAGTGTACGGACAGTCACGGCCTGCATGAGGGAAGCGGCCACGCCCTCCTCCGAACCTCCCTTTTTTTGCTGATGCGCTCGCTGCCGAATTTCCCCATAAAACTCCACCAAGGCAGCGGCCGCGTCGTCTGATAGCTGAGGTCCTTCCAGTTGCTGCTCTTGGGGCTGTTGTTGCTCATTATCCGTCAGGCCGCCGCTGCGCACCAGTGCGATGTATTTACGCAGGAATTCATGCGTCAAGCATTCATGTTCGTGCCTGAAGCACACGACACAACTGGAACTGAGCCTATGTCTGATGGCTTGAATAAATAAAGATATATATATGCTCAACGGGCTCCCTCCCTGTGGTTGGCTTTGCTCGCCACTTGCACCGACCGACCCTTGCTTGTCATAGTAGAGCATTTCATTTCGACGGTAGAAGGCCCTCGTTGGCTCTTGTTCCTCCTGCTGCGTGTCTGTCCTGGAGGGGTTGCTCTGCTTGTGCATGTCTCCCTGGGGTTGAATGAAGCCGTCTGCCTGATTTCTTCGCTCCTCAGCTGCCGTCGCCGCCGCTGCTGGCTTCGCCTTTTCCGTCACATTCCTCAGAACAGCCTCGGCTAGCCGGTCGTCCTCTTCGCTAGTGGTGGCATCTCTGACGCAGGGGTAACAGCGAAAGGCGAGAAGAGAAGAGGCGTGGCGTGCGCATAGGGAGGACGCCGCCGATTGAATGAGTACACCTCGGCGAACCGCTGGAGCCACTCAAGGAGGAGACAGCAGGGACAGCAGCGAAGCGAGAAGGCCATCGGAGAGAGAGAGAAAAACATCAGCCTTCTGCAGGCTAACCTGACGATAAAGATGAGATCGAAACGCGTCATTAGAGAATCCTCGAAGGCGAGTTGCGAGCGAAAGGACAAATCAGAACTCCAACAGCCATAGAGTGGGTTGGCTGCCGCCAGCACCGAGCACCTGGTGTACAGACGCACGACACAAGTAGACTGCGCAGAGGGCATGGGAACGCACACCAAACAGGATCCACAGGAGGGCACTGACGCATGCGAATAAGAAAAGAGAGAAGGCGAGAGTCCACATGCCATCCTCAGTGGGCTCACACACACGTTGACACACACTTTTTACGAGCCAAACGAAGAAGGGGGAAAGGGTCAAATAAATGGCATATACGGGTGTCGGTGTTGCCCTTTTTCTTCAGCCCAGTGTAGCCCGTAAGCGCCCTTGGGCACGTCCCTTCGCATCGACTAAGATTGGAACTGCCTGGTTTCCAAGCTCCAAGTGTTTGCGCATGCGCACCTGGCATTGAGGGTCGTGTGGATCCCTGCCTTGGCGACTGTGACTGTCTGTTGCTCCATCACTTCATGAATGGCTACGCGATCCGAATGCTGCATCTTGTCGAACTCGTCGATGCAGACAATGCTCCGATCGGCCAGCACCATGGCACCTCCCTCCACTCTTCTTTCACCCGTATCCGGATCGGCAACAACTGCCGCAGTCAAACCGACACCACTGCTGCCACGACCCGTGGCGCTCACTGCGCCTGGCACGAGCCCAAGCACAAATCGCAGAAGCTGCGATTTCCCCGCTGAAGGATCACCGACCAACAAGACGTGAATATCTCCGCGCACGCGATGCCCTGTCTGGCTCCTTCGCTCCGAACCTCCACTCAGCATGAGCATCAAGCCTCGCTTGATGGTCTCGTGGCCGCAAACTGCAGGCGCTAGTGAGCGTGACAGGACCTGCGGCGAGCATTTTTCGGAGACACGCAGGGAAGGCGAGAGATTGCAACAACATCCGCTGAGCAGCGGGGACGCAAGGGTGCTTAGGAGGCCGACTGGTGATGCAACACCCGTGAAACAGACACCTGCAGCATGGCGAACGCCGCAACATGCGTGGCTCCAAGCGGGGCTCTCGATTACTCCCGTATGCGCAGCGCGGCAGCCAGAGAAAAACGGAATCGCCACGTGCTGTTACCTGAAGAAGGTCTTTTCGGCTGGCAAATGCCTTCAGGTTCAACAAGTCTGCCGGCACGGACTGCAGCATGGAAGCTCGCGCGGCTGCACTCAGCACCTGCAGTAAGGACCACGCCACACGATTGAACGGAAAGTGGCGCATCGTGTTGAGACGCCTCTATGCAGTGGAGGCAAGGGGCACTGAAGCACAGGCAAGCAGAGCCTGCAGAAACACCATCGGTAGGCGCACACCACCAAGGCCTCCTCCATGGCAAAACGCTGAGCGCCTCCTAAAAGCTCTCAGAGTGCTGCCTACACCTCCGGAGCCTAACCTCGATATTATTTGCCACCAGCAAGGGCCGCACATAGCCGCTTGTCTGGTTGTTCACTGGGCCTGCACGGGGACGGTAGACGCCGTAAACGCGCACTCTATCGCCGCACTTTATGCTGTCGCAGAGATCACCCTCTGCCGCCACTTCAACCCATCGCGGCAGTTGCCCTTAGCATCAAACATCAATCACACACACACACACATACATACATATACATGCATGCACATACATACATGGCGGCATGACCGTGGCATGGGAGTACACACAGACGCCCCCATGTCTTGTGCCCGCCGCCTCGTGCGCCTAAACAATCACCCCCCCTAATACGGAGATACGCGATGATCAAATCCGCCAACCAAACACACCCGTTGGGGATGTTTCGGGGGCTTCTTGAATGTAGAATTTCTGGTGGTTCTCGTATTGGCAGTAGCCAACTTCCTGGCGGTTCACTTTCCGCCCCTCCGGATCTGCGAATACACCGTCCATGACGCAGTGCAGAGAGCTCTTCGATGGGTAAGTCGTTGCTCAATGAGCTTCGCACTCGTCATGAGGCAATAAGAAGACGGGGTGGTGCCTCTTGAACCCCAAGACGGATGCATTCGACTCCCCCGTTTCACACTTCTTCTCCTACCTTTCTCGGGTGGAGGCTGAGCGTCTCGAATGTCCTTGTCCAAGTCGGTGGCGTCAAAGAAACTCCGCAGGTGCACCTCTCTCTCTGGATCGGGGAGGGCCCCCTCGGGGGCCCCTCCGGCGCCTTGCGGAGGCTGCTGTAACACGGACTCGGTTAGGTACACCGCACGTTGCAACTTCGGGTGAACAACAGAGCATCGATTCACAACGCCCTCCACGCACACCAGTCGATTGAGTTTGCTGCTGCTAAGGCCTCTAGGCGTTACATGATCGGTGCCCAGCCAGCCGGAGACACCCACGCGCGGCGGGGGCCCCTGCAGTGGTGCCAACAACAACGCATCAACCAAGACAGGTTGACACACACATACAGAAAACGGCAGACAAAAGACGGAGCGCACCAAAAGTGACGCAGAAACTGCATCCGCAATCAAGCGCTCTCATCCCGCTAGACTCTTGTACAAGGCATTTGCAAAGGAGATGGGCAATATGCACAAACCTTCGGGAGGGCTGTCTGAGCCCGCTCATGTCCCCATCGGCCTACTGGAAGTCGAGAAAACGTGTGTCAAGACATACCAATGCGCCTCGAGCTTTCCACTCCTCCGCGACTGCCGCTTCCAAGGCAGGCAGGGCAGCACAGGGATGCGATATGATGGGATGCGCGTAGAAGGTGAAGTCTGTCAGAGAGACTAAGTCTGCCACCGGAAGAAGGAGCCGCGGAGACAGCCCAGAGGAGACCGGTAAACGTCCCTCCTTATGGGGAGGGGGCGCAGAACCAGTGCAGATTGCAGCTGCAGACTGCTGCAACACGTCTAGCTGTTGCACGACACCCTGCGTAGCAACACCACGGCCAGCAGCAGTCGGGAAGCAGAGAGGAATGAACCACAGAAATGCGAGTAGGAGGAGGCAAAGAAGCAGACGAAGAAATTCTGCGTTGATGGGAAAGACGATACGGAAGCACTGGAGGCAACTGGGGGGTGCATCTGCTTGCAATGCAACAAGCCCGTCGGTGTGGCTGCTTACGGGGAGAGCGGCAAGACTTTGCTGAAAGACTTCGGTGAGCGCTCTGACTCTGGCGGTCCTCTCCCTTGAACTTTCGATCCCCAGTTGCTGCTGCGCTAAGGCCTCTGCTCGATGGTCGATATCTGCCTCGGTGGCTGTGGCAGTTGCGACGGATGTTGCAGCGCGCCTGCTGGGAGCCTGTGTCATGTCCAAGGAAGTTGCACCCATAAGGTTGCCGCCTTCCGTGGGGCCCCCACCAAGGGTGCCCTCGATTTCATCATCTATGTAGGACGCCATCTTGTTTTGCTGTTGTCTCTCGTGCTGCTGCTGCGGCTCCCAAATATCGACTGTGGCTACTGCAGTTGCCGCGGGGGCAGCGGAGAGTAAAGCGGGAAGACCTCGTGTTACAGGCAAGAAAATAAGCCACCGGGGGTCCCTGGTGCTGGCGCTGTTGCCTTTGCTGCTGTGGCTGTTGCAGAGCCTGCTGCGAGAGTTTTTGCGGGTGTTGTTGTTGCCGCTGCTGCCGCACGGCCAGAGGCTCGTGGAAGGCCCCGAAACGAGAAATAACAGGAGCGGAAATAAGGAAGGACACAACGGAGCAGCAAGAGAAAGAATACGACGAGGTTCGGAGACGGAGCCGTGGACTTTTAGGAAGATGCAGGTGGTGGGGTCGTAGGGGGGGAGATACCAACACCACCAGATCCGAACTCCAACACCCTATTCACACACGGGGTTCCCTTAACACAGCATAAACCAGATTTATTGCAGACCACATAAATTCCAGAGGCGAGTTGCCTTATCAACCATGTAGGGTAAAAGCCCTTAAAATCCTTAAAACTCTCGCACTCTGCAGCAAACGCTGCCGAACACGCACGCCTTCCTTTACCCCGAACTCCAAGCCCCAAACACTTCTCCTGTGATATTTATCTGAAAGTTGCCTTCTTATCACGAAATTACTCCGAAGACCCGGAAATCTTCAAACGCTCAATCTAAGAAAACGTAATGAAAAAATTGTGCGCAGCCCTTCGGACTAGACTGAACCTTCATCCATCCACAGTGCAGTTGACCTACGGTTTTTTCTGCAGTTTTACAGTTTTCACTTAATATTTCGTGCACCCATGCGGCAAAAACGGAAACTTGAATCCCCGGGGGCCTAGTGAAGATGGGTGCTCGTTGCTAGATTTGCTCCTCTTCCACTAACAGCGCCCGAAGGTCTGTCTTCCCCCTCTTTCCATCCCTCACAGGATGTATGCCCCTCACACTGCCCTGTAATTTCCTGGACATACGCGAGGCCAGCGACATCGGGCCCCTTCTGCAAGTGTTGCTGCAACAAAAGCAGCAGGAGGAGGAGGACAAGTGCATGCTGTAGCCGCTGCAAGTGCAGCAGCAGGAACAGAAGCAGCGCTTGCTGTTGCTGCCATCGTATTCTACAGCGTGTGCACTGTGTCGGTCCTCATCAGGCTTCGGGGAGCTGTAAATAAACCACGGCCGCTGTCAGACTGCTCTCGGGGCCCTGTTTAACTGAGGGCCCCCAAACGCGCCACCACAACATTGGTGGGTGGGGGTTTTGAACTTTTATCAGCAGCATGGTTTCTGGTGTACACGCGAGGGCCCTCAAGCGGGTGGCCACTATTTCCGCGAAATGGGGGCCCCCGGGGTCCCTCCTTGCTCGCCCTTTGTTATTTTCCCCTCAGCTCTTCTCCCGCCAAGGTTCATCCCCTGCTTTCTCCTCCGCAGCCGAAAGACTCCCAGCTCCTGCTACTTCCGACAAATCAGTGAAAGCTGGTGGCACTCAAGGGGCCCCTCTGCCCCGGGCTCCTCCGCAAACGGCGAGCAATACAGCGGGAGAACCCTCCTGCCTCGGAGATTCTCAGGGAGGGGTTCCCCTCACCGCGCATGCGGAGACATGGCAAGCGCTTGTCGCTCAATACAGCAGTACCTCTGCTGCGGTCGCTGCCGTGGTCGAAAAGCAGAGAACTGAAAGGGCAGTAGCACAGCAGGTTACCGCTCGCCGGGCTGCACTCGCCGCAAAAGCGAGAAAAGAAGGGGCCCCAGCAAAGGTCTATGACGGACCACTCTGGTGGCGTTTCTGGTCAAGAAAGAAGCGACCAGGTGCTCGCAACTAAGTGCAGCAGCTGCATCAGCATGCAGGCATGCGTTCTGCGTCTGCTCTTCTGGTGGGGCCCACACCTCTGAATGAGGCCCGGGAGTGCCTGGACTGCTACATTCGCCGAGGCTCCTATGTGCAGAGCGGCCTTCGCTCTTCGTTTTTAGTTGTTGGGCTTTCATAAAGTCAGAATGACGGCGGCTCTAAACCGTGGGGCTTTGGTTTGAGGATGTAGTGGAAGCTTCCCCCAAAGCAGGACTGGTGTGCGCAAACAAATGACACACGGTTAGTGCAGAAGCGTCTCTTCATATATATATATACACTACAACAAAGCTGCGGCCGCAAACACTGAAATGTTTAGGGAGGCATACACACTTTACTCGCTAGGCTGAATGGCTTGCTAGCGTGTTTAATGCGGCAGCAGCTCTTTGCTGCTGCCGTCTACTTTAGCGCCTGCACTGCTGCAGGGGCACGGTGGTTGCCGCTGCCGCGTCTGCTGCTGCAGTGTTCTGATGCAATACTCATTCTACTGCTGGCTCTGCTGCTGGCTCTGCTGCTAGCTCTGCTGCTAGCTCTGCTGCTGGCTCTGCTGCTAGCTCTGCTGCTGGCTGCTGCTGCGGCTTCTCTTCCTGAAACTATCAATGCGGCTATCTTCAGTGTAAGGGAATTAACAGAAGCCTCTCCCGTAAGAAATTCTTCGTGGAGCTGCTGCTGCTGTTGTTGTTGCAGCGAGAAACAGCTGCAAAGCGATAGGAGGAGCCGCGTGCTGCTGATGCTGTCCAGCCCAAGGTACTGCAGTGGTTGATCCTGCAGCAGTTGCACTGCAGGGGGAATGTGCTGCTGTGCAAGAGCATACACCTGACAGCGCACGGCTTCTAGCTCCTCTGGTGTTCCCAGTCTTCGCTGCCTTCTGTGTTTTTCGAAGGACATTAGAGTGTCAAGGCCCTCTTCTACTGCTGGTGGTAGCCTGTGTTGCACATGTATCTGCTGCGGCTGTTGTTGCTGCTGTAGCAGATACGAAAGGACGGAGACAACCAAGCCTCCCATTGTCACGCTGCTGTTGCTGTTGCCGCTGATCTCCCAGTAGTTGCCAGTGGAGGAGAAACCTGAAGGCGCCGTGTAGTGCGGCACTCCAGTTGTGCAGGTGTCAGTACGCCGCGAATCGAAGGAGAAAGGGCCGCTGTAGCTACAGTCGGTGCTGCTGCTGCAGCAGGGCTCCCCAGCCGAGTGTACGAACGCTGTGCGAGACACTAGACCCTGAGCAGCGGCCAGGCTGCCAACTGCAGAAAGCCCTGCATGCAGTGTTGCGCGGCCAACAGGAAGCGGCAACTGACTGATGATTGGACGGCACGCGGTCTGATGGCCGTGCAAGCTGCGGTGCATTGCAGGTTCTGGGCGGTCGCTAGTCTTAGATGAAAGCGTTGCTTGAATGCCTGCTTCGGTCCCTGCCACATCCGCTTTCGCTGCTTCTATGTTCGCTTTGATTTCTGCAAGCTTGGCTGCTTCCGCTTCTACCGCTACATCTGCAGTTGGACGAACTGCGTCTGCCGAAACGGTACCTCCAGGTGTCGCTGTGTCTGTGGACAGGGCCACGTGCCTTAGGAGCACTCCCTCCTCCGCCGCTGCAGCTGCTGATGCCTCTTTGGCTGTGGCTACATCTGGGGGCCCCTCTGCAAGGCTGCGCCGGTAGCTGACAGAAACCCAGTACTTCAGGGAACCACCTATGGGGTGGCTTCGCAGCACCTGAAGCAGGTTCTTCGCCTGCCGTGCTCTCTCCACTAGTTGCACGCTTCCGCCAGCGCCAGAAGCTGCATCTGCTAAAGTATTTTTGCCGCTATTTTGGTTGTTGATCTGCTTTTCGCAGTCCTCTTCATCTACTAAGAACACCGCGGCGCGTATTGGGTGAAGCGTTTGAAATTGCATCAGCTCATCCAAAGCAGCGGCTATCGCTGGCGCAGCTGCACAATTGCAGTGTATTGGCAATAGTCCTTTCTGTTGCTGCGCCTGTGTGTTTGGCTGTTGCAGCAGCATCGCGGCACCTGCTTCAGTTCGTAGTACTTCCGGTAGTTGCAGCAGGGGAGTGAGCAATACCACATGAGAAGCCCCCTCACCCAGGAACCAGCGACACGCAGACACCGCAACGTTGCTGCTGCTGCTGCTGCTGCTGCCGCTTGATGCATCTGCCACTAGCACTGTGCATGCACCTTCGGCTTCCCAACCCTGCAAAACCGTAGCAGGAGATTGCACCCATTGTGGGTGTCCTTCTGCTAGCAGTTGCAAGTCATCGCCCTGCTGCTCCGATTTCTGCTTGTTCTGCTCCTTATGTTTTTGCCATTGGGGAAGATGGGGTGGTGCCTCGTGGCTAGCGTCTTCTTGACACTCCTGCTCAGCTACAAGCTCGTCGGGCAGATCCGCAGGCTCTCGGGCAGCACCCGCTGAAGCGTCAGGCAGTGCTGCAGCGAGCTTACGCGGCAGGTTATCAAGGGACAAAACGACGTCCCCAACTCGGCTTTCAGAAGCAAGAAGGGCATACGCATCGGCTGCTGCCGTTGCTGCTGCTGCTGAGTCCTGCTGCGATACTCGCAGTAGGGCAGCCGGCGCGTGGGGGCCCCAACCCTTCTGCAGTATCTCAAAATCCTTGCTGCACCAATTGGAGAGGTTTGGAGCTGTGCATGCTCTGGCGCTGTCTCCTGCGACAGCTGCCGCGGCGCTCTGCTCGTACTGCTGTTGCTGCTCCCAAAGGGAGAAGGGTGACACACATAAATAGTGGGCGTCCGGCCTCTCCTGCCTCAGCTCTTCTTGCAACTGCAGATCCTTGAAGCCTAACTGCAGCAGCCAGCCCCCAAGTGATAGCTGGTGCAGCGGCAGTTCTTTCAGGTTCACACGATGCGTATAGACGATGAGGTCTACGTCGTCCTGCAGCAGCCCTTGCTGCTGTAGCTGCTGTTGCTGCTCCCCATGGGCTGATGGAGGCAGCATGCAAGGCTGCTGGACTCCAATCTGCTCTAGCAGAAGCTGTTGCTGAGTCGAACGGCAAGCAGCAGCAACAGTAGTTCCTTGAGACACCAGATACTGAGCCAACAGGAGACCTGCTCCCGACGCCGCACTGTCGATGTATACCCGCAGTTGGGTGGACACGTCAACCGCCGCTGCTCCTAGTTGCTGCAGTACTTGCTGAAGCAGTGCCAAGTCCAGCTGAAGTGTGCAAGCTGCCTCGTATGAGAAACCAGGGTATACAGGGACCAGCAGGTTTTCCCGACACAGGACGTAAGTGCCTATACACCCTGGTGCTACGCCACACACGGCAGTACCAAGCCTATACTGCTGCACCTGCTGCTGTTGCTGCAGCGCCGGCTCTAAGAACGCGGGGGGGCAGCAAACAACGCCGGCAAAACGAACTCCCAGGGAACCTACAGAAACGCAAAGGGAATCGCATTGATCATACAGAAGCACCGGCAGTAGCAGTAGCCTAGCACTCGGAGAGAAGCAAGACTGTCTGAATCAGTAAAGAGAGCAGCACTTTCCAAACACAAGATTGGAAGGATCTGCGTCTTACACGTCACTCCTTCGGGCTGATTCAGCAGCTGGAGGGCCTCCTGAGCATCAAGTGCAGCGGCCAGCACACGAACGCAAACGAGATGCCCCAGAGGGCTATGGGCCTCGTCTTCGCCGTGCTGCAGCATCCGGACACCAGTCTCTGCATACATTCGTTGCAGTTTTCTCTCCCGCTGTAGGCTTTTGACCAACTGCTGATGTTTCTGCTGCTGCTGTAGCTGTTCCAGTAACAGCCGCGAAGCATCCTGTAACACAAAAAGGTGCATGAGACCTTCCCGTCGGTGCTGCAGCACCGAGGCCCACGGGGGTAAGGGAGAGGGCCCTCCCAGTCGCAATAAAGTTACCGCTCTCTTCCCTGCTTCATAACGCAGACACTGGGGCCATCCGGCTACTGCGGAAGCAGAAGCAAGCGCCTTCAGACACTCCTCAGCTGGTTGTTGCTGAGGCGCTCGTTGATCGCCTTCGTACATTACAATGGAAAGGCGAACTCTCTGTCTGCTGTTAGAGCACACGCTGACTGAGGCATGCACCAGCAGCTGTAGCAGCCCTTCTTGCGCCCATTTAGCAGCCTCGCAGGAGCAGGTGGTGCTGCGGGTGCTGCAGCAGGTGCCTCCGTTGGCGCTGCTACCAGGTTGTACCTGTAGAAGCAGCAGTACAGGGGGCAGTTGGTCCTGGTGGTCATGTACCTTCAGCGTGTGTAGCAACAGCAGCAGCAGCTGGTAGCTTTCAAGAAGCCCCTTGAAATAATGTGACTCCTGCTCTTGGTAGTGCTGCTGCTGTCCGTGAACTGCAAATAGAGATGCATCAACAAATGCACCGAACACAACACAACCCCAGGATGCATGTTGCTGATGGTGCTGCTGCTGGAGGTGGTGCCAGCCACCGCGTTTCTGTCGCTGCTGATAGTGATCTGTATGCGTGCCCGGCAGTCCTTGGTGGTGGTGGTGCTGCTGCAGTAGCATTGTAAGCAATTCTCGTTCTGTGGTATCGGGGTGGACACCCCTCACACAGACCGAAGAGCCACTGAAGCACTGCTGCCATGTTGCTGTTGCTGATACCCGACTTAAAAATAACAGTGGCTCTTTCGAAGAATTCTGTATTGATACAGTTGCCGTTGATGCTGTCAGAGCGTCTGGAGGACCCCAATAATGGTAGGTCAGCATGGGGTGTAGCAGCTTGCAAAGACCATGGGCCTCCTGCGCTTCATCTTGCTTCAGCGGCAGTAGTGCAAAAGCCGTACGCTTCCACGAGACAAGTGACGCCTGACGCAATAAGTTAAAGTCGAAATTAGGGTTTCTGCTGAGTACTGCATGCGCAAGCGCTCCGCCGAAGCCCATTGAGGTGATAAGCGCCATAGGGCCCTCCTCTGGGGGCCCTTTGGAATATCGGGGATTCTTACGGGGTTTCCACACTTTAGGGTTAATGGGGAACGGCTTAGATGGAAGGATAAAACGCGATCCTTTCCAAGCACGCGCAATATTTGGATGAAGCTGCTGCAGCAACAGATTCGGAGGAACTAGAAGATACTGGAGAGAGAGAGCAGCTTTCAAAAGGCTTGAAGGACCCCCTGCTGCCTCCCCATGGCCAATGCTCGGTTTGAGACAGCCGATGGCAAGGCATCTGCAGCAACACCGCCTAGATGTGATGCTGTTGCTGAAACCGCGGCTGCTTAGATACTCTAGCTCCACGTCCTCCCAGTCGTCATCGTGGCTGAGCCGGTGTGCAGCAGCAGCTGCTGCGGGCCGTCTATGGCCTTTACGCCCCTCCTGTTGTAGCCGTTGGCAGTAGGAGCAAGGCAGTAGAGTGTCTCCAGCAAAAGTAGCCGCAAGTGCGGCGGCTTCCACCGCATCCCCAAGGACAGTCCCTGTCCCATGTGCCTCCACGAGACACACGTCAGCTGTGTCTACACCAGATTCTGCGAGCACACGCAACAGCGACTGCTGCTGGGAAGCGCAGCTTGGGGCTGTTACACTCTGCGTGCGAGCTGACTGCTGTACAGTTGTTCCTTTTACATAGCACAGCACGTGGTGCTCCCTGCTGCTGGGGTTGCTGCAGGCGCTGCTATCTACTCTTTCCAGCACGAGAGCAACGACGGCTTCCCCCCTAACGCATCCGTCAGCTTGAGCGTCAAAGGCTCTACAGCGGCCAGTGGGTGACAGAATTCCTGCAGCAGCGAATGCTCTAGCTGCTGTAATATCTAGGATCAAGTTGCTCGCCCCCACCACAGCGCAGTTGCTGCCATCGAGGCCAATCCGCTTGGTGCCTTTGCTGTTGTTGCGGCTGTTTATGTTGTTGCCGTGAGACGTCAGATGTTGTTGCGCAAGATGCAACGCTGCAAGTCCTGAAGCGCAGGCGGCGTCAACAGAGAGAGAAGGTCCATGGAAGCCAAATTCTCTAGAGATCCGATTGCTAAGAAGTGACGAGGCGCTGCCTGCCAAGGAGTAACCTCCCCCTACTTCCACATCCAGCACCGCACGCCTGCATGCACAACCACATTTTTAAGCGTCTATCCTAATTATTAGGCCTCCTCAGCACAAGATCACATTTCTTTTGCTGTTGCTGTGGCTATTGTTCTAACCGCACCAGTCAACCGAGCTGCATCCAATGTATACTGCCGTGTTGTCGCTAATAAGCCCGGATGTCTTCGGCCATTGCTGTTGTTGCCGACTTTGCTGCTGCTGCCTCTTCGTGAAGAGCCCTGCCATTTGGATTGCCTCGTGGACAGTCTCCAGCAACAGCCGCTGCTGTGGATCCATGCAGCTCGCCTGTGGCAGCACGATTGACATACAAAGAAAAACAGCATTATGCCTGCACTTTCAATCAAGTTTAAGCTCTTAAGTGCACCATTACAGGCACCGAATGCAGCAGGGTGTCTTGCTACTGCAGCTGTATGTCCTGCTTGTATCCTCTGTGCGATGCAGCACGCTTGCTGCAGTAAGAAACCACCGGCTTGATAGTTAAGGGATTGGCGCCTGAAGAAAGCGTTTACAGGACCTCGGCGGCGCAAATGCCGAAGCGAGCGCAGTCAAATGAAGTTACGTCTTCAAGATATCCTCCCTGCAGCCACCCAGGGCCTCTTAAGGAACGCTCCTTTTGCGTCTGCTGACAAGAGGCCAATTGCAGCTTTGTTTCCTTTACGGAGTGCCCTTCCAGAGGTCCTAGCAGCTTTTCAAACTCCGGTAGACACCTGCATCAGCAGTAGGTCCTGCAGGAGCTTCAGTTCAAAAAACGGTGGGCAAAAAGCAGGTGAAGCCTTTTGCCAATACGATTTTGGGCGTGAGGTTTAAGTGGTACCTGTTACTCGGATAATTTCCAACAGCAATGCAGCCCTCTAAGAGGTGTCTCCACAGCTTCTGCAGATCATTGCAGCCTCCAGGAAGCCGACAGGCAGCGCCTGTTATCCCCAAGAGTGGTTGCGTTTGCTCGTGCTGCAGCGACGGCTCCCGAAGCGGCCGCAGGCCACCAGTGAGTAAACTGCGGCGCTTCCAACCAGCCGAACCCTTGCTGCCTCTGACTGCACTGGCAGCTATGAAATTCCCATTGATGGTGCTAAAACTGTACTGCTCAGTACGAAACCCTTGCCTAGCCTCTGTCCGTCCCTTCACTGCTGCTGTAGCTGCTTCAATTGTTGCGTACCCCTGCTGCCTTAGCAGCAGATCAGCAAGTTCTCTAATAGTCTCTGCCTGAAGAACGTCCTGTGGGGCAAGTGTCAACCGAAGCTCGTCTTCAGCAGCTGCTGCGACTTCTGCAACAGCTAAAGAATCCATACCGAGCTCGTGCAAGGACGCATCGGGATCGGGATAAACGCCTAGAGTCTTGGAGACGCATTGCTGCAGTTGCCGAAGCAACACTTCGCGCACAGCCGCCACCGAATCACCGGCTGGCACTCTTGTAGATGTAACTGATGATGTCTCTGTAGGAACAGCACTAATGTGAGCCTCCGCAAGTAGCGAGTTGGCGGTGAATGCGTACAGGATGCAATGGCCTTCCGCACTAGCTGCGTTGCCTTGTCGTTGCTGCTGTGTTTGGTGCTCCTGGAGGCGCAGCAAAAAATCGCGTGTTGCCATGCGCTGTATTTTCCCACTGGTGGTTTTTTTGAGAGAGTGTGGCCGCAGCAGCCACACCTGGTGCAGCGCGATGCCGCATTCCCTCAGAACTGCAGAGGCAACAGCCCTGCCAATGGCCACTCCACAGGTAGCTGCTGCGCACAGCCCGCACGGCAAGAGTTACAACGGCAGTAGAAGCAGTGAATTTAGCCGTCTGCTACACGAGTTACAGTTGTGAGGGTGCACGCCCTATATTGCCACCTCAGTTGCTGCAAATGAGAAGCAAAGGGCATATGACGGTCTAGGACACTGAAGCCTTCACCAGAATGAATGGTGCAAAACATGCAGAGAGCATCAATGGTGGGGATAGCACGAAGGTTATATGCGGCCAATGCAAGGCAACACAGAAAGCAAAAGTCAGGGAAACGGGTAAGGAAGGATAAGGGGGAGCTTCTGACTGAAGAGTGGAAAGCCAGAAAAGCAGGTAGGATTGAAGCAAAGATGTAAGGAGGTAAAGGAGCGGATTGATCATGCAGAGAGCTGCAAAGGTAGAGACAGCAAAGATGGAGTCATGGAGAGCAAACGACTCACCGTTTGGCTCCACTTCCAGTGCGAGACCAACGCCTTCCCCATTCGGAGTGACCAGAGGGAAACCAGCGCATGCATGTGTCCTCACCAGCGCCTGCCCTTCCGCCACTGCTGAAGCCGCAGCATTTGCCGCCACGGATTCTATGGTTTGAGGCGCGATTGAGCGGCCATTTACTATGATACATTCCTTAAGCCGTCCCGTCAGAACCAGCTCAGATCTCCAGAGGAATCCCAAGTCTCCCGTTCTAAGAAAACGCCGCTTTTGTGTCTCTGCTTTCATTGTTGCTCCCTGTGATGTTCCCGTAGCTACTGTGCCTGCGGCTATATACACAAAGCAGTCCGCCTCTGGAGACTCTCCTAGGTAAAAGCTCATTAGGGCAGGAGAAGACACACATACTTCCCCGACTGCTCCCTCCGGCAGGGGCGCCCTTGTGCACAGATCAATGACAGCAACTGCAGCAAGCACAGCCACAGAGATGCAGAGTGCAAGAAGGTGGGGTGCGAAGCTGAAGCCCTTCGGCTGAGCAGAGAAGGGCAAACAAATGGGGTTTAGGAGCATTCTGTTGCAACTGCTGTTGGTGCTACGTTTGCTGCTCACTGTGCACTCCGTAGTTGGGGGGTCCGCAGCTGACGAGCGCCTTTTGCTGGCAACTTTCCTGCATCTCATCTCCGGCAACTGCGAATCCCTAAAGCGCAACAAGGATGGGGCACCGTTTTAAAGATTACAGGAAGGCGGAGTGGCCTCAGGGCCTCACTGAGTAAGAGCAAGACCACTCATGCTTCTCACGCTTGACAAACTCCTGCCGCGCATGTTTGCAAAGGGCCGCCCCTTATGGCTTGATTCCAAATAATCCTCAGTGGACCCGCAAGGATGGGGGCAGGGCCTACTCTCTCAAGGTCAGCCGTTCTAAAGTTCAGCACTTGTGGTTCTACGGAAGTGCAGGAGCAGCTTGCGACAGTATCGTTTGTGCAGCAACCAAATCTACTGCCATTGGAGCTGCAAGTCCGTTTGCCTCGGCGGCGTGTAGTGACAGCAAGGCAGTGTTCTGCTAGACCGTATGCAGCAACAAGGGCCTGAGGTCTGAGGCCGGAGTTCTCAAAGGCCTAAGGAGGACGAGCATCAGCAGTTGGCAGCCATGAAGAAGTCGTCATGAGCACCTATTAATCCAGCACCAACTGCTGCTTCAAGTACACAATTACGTGCCGTTGCTCCTGCAGCATGGAGCCGCAGCTGGAGACAACAAGGCCTGCAATCTATGAGAATCTTGAGGGCTTTAAATGGTCGGTCGGCCTAGGCTCCGGGGCTTAAAGGCTTTACCTGATTCATAAGAGTAAAAGTGTGGGATTGTATCATCTCTGAGCCACAGATAAGTGTATGTAAGCTTCTTAAGTCAAGTGGCTCATTTGCAGGACCATCCGAAGAACCCTCCTGAGGTCCATCAGTCTTCGGATGTGGAAGCGAAACACCCTGAAAAGATCGTTGAGAACCTTTCAATCGTTTGCGTGCCACTAGCTGCAAAGCAAAATCAGGGGCACCAGAGATGGAGCAACCAAAAGTACTGACAGCCCTCAGCCACAGATGGGGACGCCCAGCGAAGGCCTCCGTGGGAAGTCGATAGAGTGAGAGTCCGAAAAAAAGAGCAGTCACCGCGAACCCCACCAGACTGCAGGGCATACAGAAACAGGAGGCACTGGTGGTGACGTTGGCACGGTGGCTGACATCAAGAGGGACAGGAAGAGAGTATTGGACGGGTGCATGAACAGGCGGAGTCACGGCCAAAAATATATTGGCAGCAAGCAACGGAAACTGCACGGTCAAAACAGCAAAGGCTGACGGGAAACTAGCACTTTGTTCGGCAAGGAAACAGTGTTAGACAGAAGAAGAGTCAGGCCCCATGGATAAAAACGTAGTTGCTGCAGGAAGGGCTTAGAACAGTGGATGAGGACCGAGACCATGTGGAATAGCCAGTAGAAAGCAACGCTATTGAATACAGGCGACGGCATGCAAAGCAATCGACGAGACGGGCCACCGTAAGTGTATCAGTATTAACAACACTAGCAGTGGTAGCAGTAGGCTCTGACCCCATATCATGGAAGAGAGGCAACCAGCTCAGGCAGCGGGCCCTATGTCCCGTTTGAAGCTTCATTAGCTCGTGGTGCTTCTCCATTAGCTGTACATAGAACTTTGAGGGAGGGCTGCAACAGATGCAACAGTATTCAGTCTGTCCTACGTCCTTGCAGCTGCAGGCACTGCAGCCACTATTACTGGTGCTGCTGCAGGTAGCCCAGTCACCAAGCCTTAAGTTGAGATGCAGAGACCACAAAAGAGCTCCGTGAGAGATGGCACAGGCTTTAGGGCTTCCGGTAGACCCTGAGGAGAGCTGAAGCAAAGCAATGTTGCTGCTGCTGTTGCAAAAGCTTGAGTTTTGCTGGTTCTTTTCTATGGCTTCCTGGATATTGAGAACCTGTACACCTTCTCTCGCAGAGCAAGCTGCTGTGCCCCTGCAACGTTTAGCATATATGGAGAAACAATTAACAGCAGGGCTAACACCTGTAGCAACTCGTGCAGCGACCTGCAGTGTCGGCAGTGACAAGAGCATCTGCTTTGAAGACGGTCTGGTTCACAGAGGAGAGCTGAGGGTTTACAGGCTGGCATACATTTTAGGATCGTCGCTAAGGACTACCCAGGGAGCGGGGGCCTGTTTTAGCAGCAGCTGCAGCTGCCGCTGAAGCCGTTGAGGCTGCAGAGCAGACGAGGAGGAAGAACGAGGGGCAGGGAAGGGGACCGCAGGCACCCCAGCAAGGAGACAACCGAAGAAACTAGTGATGAATGTAACATCTTTTGAAATACTCCTGAAACATTATAGCGGCACAGGAATACTAGCAGTAGTAGGGCGTGTACTGTTGTGGCCGCAGGTTAAGCGGCGGAGAGACAGTTCGAAGTTCGGAATAACTGGGCAGACACAAATACCTCAGGAGCTGCAGGAGGCCACTGGCAATTGCAGATGCAGAGGCCACACAAACATGGAAGGGAAGTGCGTGGATAGGAGAAGTAACAATGAAAACCTACAGAACGACGGCTGTCTCTTGCGGATCCTGTTTGCGCTGTAGCAGCAGCTGCTGCAATACAGTTGCTGCTGAATTTGCATTCTTCCACAAGGCTGAAAATGTCAGCTGTTCCGTTACACTGCCCTGATTTTTAAAGAGCACCACAGAAGAAAGTGCCGGTGGCCGCGAAAGTTCATCCAGTGCAGCAAGTGCTGGTATTGGTTTTCCCAATTCGTCAAGGCTAGGAACGGGTGCACTCCCTTGCCTCGTCAGGCCATCTCTCCAGGAGAAAACGAAGAAGCACTGGGGGCACATTGACTTTAAGCGCTATTTGCCTGGCTCTAAGACGCTAATGCTGACCTGCGCATTTATTGTTGCAATAGCAGTATCTTCGGGGGCTTGTAAAGCCCATCTTTGGAGCTGCTGCTGCCAGGGAGCGCCCTCATAAGCTTTGAAAAGCTCATGGGCCTTTTGTACGCATTCATCCCCCTCTTCCATCTCTCGAACCATAAACCCTCGGCCGTATGGCCTAGACTCTCTAGCACATGAACTTTCGGCAAGACACCAGCACTGGGGAACGGTCGGCGAAGTGGGGGCGCCGGTGAGTTGACTTTATATATCGCTGCTGGAAAACTTTGAAATGAAAATCCTTATCCCTTACCCCTTGAAAAGGACGTAGGCCTTCCGAATACGCCGATGCACAGGTGCGACATGAAAGGCTAGATCCCCAGGGACTGAGGGTTGGATTTAGAGCTTCACGTCGCTATAAGCGCTATTTCCCGCTTAAGAATTATAACAAAAGATTTTGAAGAGGGCAAGATGGGGGAATAGAGCATAAATGCCTGCAGCAGCCAGACCGACAAGGGTCACTTTGCGCGATAGGCACGAAGCCAAGCGCACACTCCATTTGCTAATTTACTATGTTCCACCCCTTAGCCGTTTCAATTTCAAGAGTAATTTCTGTTATTTATTCGACGTAAAGACGGGTTATTTGAACAGTATCTTGTCATTCATCCCCCATAACCGTAAACTGTGTGGTCCCTAGACGATCGGTCCACTGGCATCGGCAGTGGCTCGGTGCTTACTTCCATTATTCGTACCTTCACGAGCAACAAAAGCAATCTATGCCTTCCCAGGAAGACATAATGCTAAGATCAGAATCACCCTATTTGTGTTGTATACTAATACTCCTGTTGCCCAGTCGCCAGTGCTGACGCGCTCACATCGTGATCGAGCATTGGCCCCTTTATATAGCAGTTTAATTTATGGCTTGGCTCCCTCCAAGAATATTTGTTTCCCAACTAGAATAGAGGGCATCCAACTCAGGAGGCAGGACGAACAGCAGCAGGACCTGCTGCAAACGAATTGAGAGCTTGCAAAGCTCTTTGCAAACTCAAAAGCAGAGCATCCTTTCGTACTCCAGTGCAGATAATTTAGCTGACAGAGATGCTTATTCTGAGCACCAACTCAAATTTGTGTTGCTGCACTTGATGTAAAGTGTGAATCGCAACAGCTGGCAATATTGACGGCCTCAAGCAACACAGCAACCTTGCAGTGGCAATAAATTGTTCCTCCAACGGGGACGGGTAGATCTCCAGGCCATCTTGACACCTTACAGAAGGACTTGACAGACTTATCAACAGAGACTTGAAGCCTTACAAATAAGATATGACACCAGATATATGTGTAGCCCATCATAGGGCAGTGGCCTTGGAGGCTGCCTAATGCGCTGCGTAATGCGTACTTTTGATGTACAGGCCCCCTAACCGTCTGCACAATCCGGATAGCATCAAATCGTACTAGTTTAAAGTTATACAACTCGTTTTGTTCGGAAACTCATTTCATTCCGCGAAGACATGGTGCTTCTCCGTGCCAGTGTCAGACAGCCTGCCCCCTTACTCTCTTGTTTGCTCGCAAAACACTTCCCAGCTGTCTCTAAAATGCTACAAAGCCTGAATTACAAGGGCTGCTCGACAGAAAATCGACTTGTATCCGTCTCAGAGTAGCTGTCTCTAGACCTCGTAGTAGCGCTCCTTAAGTAGGTGCCAAGGGGATCTTCGAGCCCAACACTCTTTCAGAACTTAAGTATGCAGTTTTCTGCGCTTCAAAAAAGCTCCTCCTTTCATCATGCTTACGGCAGAGGGTTCCGGCATAATTGAAACGAAGGGCAGCAGGGGTCCAACTGCTTGCATCTTATTAACAAAGGCGCATCTAAACACAGCCCCATGCAGGAGCCCTAAACGATCAGGCGAACCATTATAAGCAATACTTATTAACAGGTTAATTACATATAACTGGTGTTACGGGTAAGGTCCTCGTTTGTATTGGGTCACTAGATGTGTTCTGAGAGCAGACGGCCATAGCTAGCAAAAAGGCAGCCATGGTGCAGCCAGCGGCAAGTTAGGGAAGCTATGAGAGCTGGTGACTCAGCAGGTTAACATTAGCACTCCCTGCATACAGGCTCATGATCAACAGCTTGGCCGGCCTTAGAAAAGTTGAAGTGTCAGGGCGCCTATTCCATGTTAACAATGTCAAAATGCAGCAAACGCTCTACTTGTTCCTCTACCTTGCTAGGTTCAACCATGCCTTTGCCGTTGTCTTTCCGAGACGCTTCGTGCATGGTCCCCAGTTTAACAACATTTTCCAGCCCGTTGACACTGAGGTTCCAATGACTTGCGGCAGTTTACTGATTCTTATCATTCCGCAGTGCCCAACGCGTTTGTTGCAAAAGTGCCTTCTCTCACCGATTTCACAGCAACAGCATGGTGAGTGATTGGTGCAACGACGTAAGATCTCGGCGCCTTCTGCATGTGGAGAGGCACTGTACTGAATAGGTGGTAGAAGCACGCTAGGCCTAATAAAGCTTCAGCTGGCTGCCAAATAGCTGCAGCTAGACCCATGAATTGCAGTTGCTTCTGCTTTTTCTTCGGCTGTTAGTGCAGGCCCAGCCTGCTAGCGGTGCCCCACAAAAGAAGAAGCGACTATGCGTTAGATGGGATGCCGCCGACACCAAACTGGACAGAGGTAACAAGAAAAAAAGATTTTAGAGATATGAATCCACGGGCAATCACGGGGAAAGCAGCAAGAGTGTGTTAGGCTCCTCTCAGAAGTTTTCCGAGATACGGTAGTGTTAGGCTTCACGAACCGCCCCGGCAAAAATCTCCTTGGGGAGGACTTAACTCCGGACTCAATACAAACGTAATAGAAAGTTCCTGAGTGTTTCTAGAGAGAGCCCCCACCCTTTTCTGCCCGCTTTCGTCAGAGTCCATACAAGCGCGGAGAGGGACAGCTAGGGTGTAGGTAGGTGTACCCTCTAAGCATTCACAGAAATTCACGGCTTATTTGATGTAGCATTCAGCACACGTGCACACAGTTTGACTTTGATAGTATTGAGGTAATGCTAAGCTTGAAAAAAATGATATTAAAACAGACAAGCAAAGTAATCAATTACTTACTGACTTTCACTTAAACATAGTTGGTCTAGGGGAACCCCTGGAATTGTGTCCAGCCCCTGACATTCTACACCTACGTAGCACTGATGCAAAGACTTTGTACGGTCTTGCAAAGAGTCTGACCCTTTCATTGCATACAACCCAAAGTTTCCCCGATTTAGTAGGTGTTAGCGCGGTGCAGGTGAGCGTTGTTGCACCCTATATGCAATTTGGGTATTTGCAACCAGTAAATAATCAATAAAGTATTTGACCAATAGAACCGCTAGTAGTGTAGCTTCCTAGGTAGTGGAGGGTGTCCCACTGCAGTGGCTTGCTAACGAGAGGAAGGCCGCGCATAGAGGCACTCTCATGGTAGTGAAGGGCAAGTAAGAGAGGTAGGTGGGCGAGCAGGCACGCACACAAGCAGACACACAATGAAGTGCGATTGGAAAGCATTTAAAAAGCCAGACAAGGCCGGAGTCCAATGCCGAAAAGGATTTTGGCACAAAGACGAGGACTCTCTATGGACGACACAGAAAAAACGAAGTATAGACCAAGCACACTTATGGAGGGGGGAAATTGAATGAGTAACTACAGCTAAGCAATATCACAGAGTGCAGTTTGAACCCACTGACCAGGGCACTTGGAGGGCCCCCCTGTGTGTGAGGGGCCCGCACACACCAACTCATGGTACTACACAGTGTACCCAACCCTCGCACTTGCAGCCCAGCCATAAACATGATAATTTTCCGAGATATTTAAACTTCCTGAATGAATAGGAGGCCGCAAGATCGTTATCTTAAGCCCCATTTCTCTAACACTGACCCGAAGCCCCCTACCTCCCACCCCCCGTAACGGACGACAAGAACAGACTACCCTCCTCTTGTTTCAAGGCCTCAAACTAAGGTTCCCTGTTTAAAGCTCGGCAAATGGAAGCAGCGGACGGAGCGGTTGGCCTTGCTGTAGGCTCTGAAGAGCTGCGGCAAGAGGGGGCATTGCCTTCCCCTACCGCCGATGGGGCTAAAGATACAGCTGACAGTGCAGCCAGCACCTCGAAGGCAACAGATTTAGACTTACCGGCTGCATCGGGATCCGTGGAAGGACACGCAGACGCACACACCCCTGCCGCAGAAGCCACGGAAGCAAGACACGCCGAGGCAGGAGAAGCGGAGTGGGGTTTGTTTGGAGGAGGGGCGGACGTTCCGTCGGATGAAGACAGTGACTTTGAGGCTACAGAAGCCGGAGCAGCGTCAGGAGATGCATCCGGCAGCGAAGAGGAGCAAGGATCAGCAGCCGCATCAGCAGCAGTAGCCGAAGCAGCGGGCTGCACTGCCAAGCTGCTGTATGCACATGGCCTGGCTAACAAGCCCCTCCGATACGAGGAGCCAGCAGAAGCAGTGCTGTTCGCTGTCAAGAAGAAGCAAAGCAGCCTTCAGGAGGCAGAGGGTGAGGAGTTCCTTGCTGTGCCTCCTCTTGACCTCGACGCCACGCACACTGTCGCCCCTCTCTATGTGCTGCACCCTTTTGCTGTGGTGTTGGGCCCGGTTTATGCTATTTTGCTGCAACCAGTGTTCTCTCCCCAATTTCTTTTTTGCCTTCTTGCGAAGTTCACCCGTCTAGCGTCCACTCGTGTCGGTACATCCTCCTTGTTGCGCCTGCTGCCCTGCAGTAATAGCGCTGTGCCTTCCTCTGTGTGTGACCCCTGGTCTCTTTTGTGCTCGTGCTGCAGCGCAGTTGCAGGAGCAGCCGGCTGAGATCCAGGCGGCTCTGCAGCGTCGCTTGCTGCGCATGAGGGAGAAGGCGAAACAGTTGCTGCCCTTCCACCCCCTGCCCTCTTGCAAGCTACTGCCGATCCCGGAGCTGTTGCTGCAGCAGGAAGAGTCACAGCAGCAGCAATGTACGGAGGAACAAAGACAGCAGGATAATCAGCAGCACGCCAGAGATATGCCCTGTCCGCCGCTGGAGCAGCAGAGGGAAGAAGACAAGCAGCAGAACGTAGAACCCTCTCCGACGGCAGGCGCGTCAGAGGATCCTGCAGGGGCCAGAACGAACGCAGCAGCAGCAGCAGCAGGAGGAGACGCATGCAAAATGTCGGTGAAGGAAGAAGCACAAGCAGCGACAAGTCCTACAAAGGCGGAAGCCGGCGCAGAAGGAGCAACAGCAGCGCCCTCGGAAGCACCTGCAGCACCCGCCTGCACCTCACCAGCAAACTCCCCCCCACAAATCGTCGATCCGAAAGCACTGAAAGCTGCAACGAGGAAGGGGCTTCAGGTTGCACGGCAGCAAGCGGAACAGATTCGGCGCATGCAGCCACACGACATTCTTTTTGGACACCTCTACCACAAACTTAGGGTATCTGTGGCACTGCTGGTGCAGGTCTTTTGTTGGTAGTCTCTAGACTTGATACATGCTTGCGTCTGCCTCACGGCGATGCTGCTTTTTGCAACTCTGGATGCTCCTTTTGACTGCTTTTGTGGATCGCCGACACGCACAGGTGCTGCTGCTGCACGTAGACGGTTCGCTGGGTGTGCTCGATTGTGCTGCTCTCCTGCCGCTTGTGCTGCTGCTGCTGCTCGTGTCCTCTTCAAAGGCATTATTTCCGGAACGCAGTGATAGCTGTCTATACGGCATGGCGAAGGGGGCGGTTGCTGCAGCAAAAGCTGAGGGGCACACACGCATAATTCAGGTGCCGCTCTTCATTGCACTGTGCACTGCGCGTCTTCCTGTTTCGGCTAGCTGCCTTCGTCGCCCCCCTCCCTTCCCCCGCGCTGCCGTTTTGCCACGGCGTTGCATTGCTTAGCGGTGAAAGGGTCGCCTCCTGCAGCTGTCACTCCTTTAGGTGCCGTCAGTGCAGTGCCAAGTGTCTTGCAGCTGGCGCAGCGGCAGTTGCTGCGGCGTTGGGCTGTGCAGGCGCTAAAGCGGAGAGCCGCTCATGGAGAAATGCGTCGAGGTTCGTAAACAAAGACAGCTCGCAGAGCCACCAGGAGGCTAGGACACAACCACGGGAGAGACCTGCGTAGGGGGGTGTAGTGTACAGGAAGGCAGAATTCATTTTAAAAAACGCTGCAGAGAAGCTCCTAGGGAAATTCTCTGTAGCCTTAGGTGCTGCGTGACAGCCAGAAGCCACACGCTACTCAATGCTGTGAGAGCGCAGGAACAGTCTCACACAACCGTAGGCGCTGAGGCTTTCAGGGAAGCAGCGATTGAAGGGAGGAAAGCAGGGAGGAGAGGGGTGTGAGATCTCTCAACGCATTGCGGATTCTGCTCGTTTTTTTTCTGTGTTGCAGCAAGGCTAGAGGCCCGACTCATCTTGGAAAAAAAGCACAAGACTGCGTTGCAGGGAGCGTCCGCCAGCATTTAGAAGGTAGCATTGGTGGCAGCATACGACTGCCCGGTAGCTGCAACGTTTTGTGGTGTCTGGCTGGCTGGATGCAAGCGGCAACAACTGCAGGCCGTATTGGTGATGCAGCTAGAAATAAGGCTAAAGCGGCGGCAGGGTGCTCCCGGCAACGCTTTTCGCACACGCAAACCGAACATCTTTTTTAGGAAGAAAACGAATTGGTCAGGAGTAGCTCTAGATCCGGCAATCCCCCATGTGGAGGCGCCTGTAGTTAACAGCCCCCAAGCAAGAGGGTGAGGAGGTACACTCCCTCCCCGCCCTTGAGCGCACCCTTTGTTTGTTGTGCAAGTGTAAAACAAAACGTAGATTTCCCCCCTACGCTTGCAGCATGCAGCTCCTGGCAGCCAACCCCCTCCTGGGTAGAAACCCCGGCGGCTCCTTCACCCTATATGCGCTAGTATTGTACAGTAGTCTCCGATGAGGCGTGCGTGCTGCCAGAAGGACGCAGACAAAATATTCTTCGCGAGCGCATCAGCCGCATCAACGGAGAGAATCTGGTGCAATGCGCCAGATCCGCCCCTCATGAAGCACACACTCGTGGACGGACTGCTGCTGAGGCAGCAGCTGTTCCTGCTGCAGCCTCTGATACTGCAGCAGCAGCTTCCCTCTCTCTGCCGACGATGCGAGGAGTGACACCACGCACCCTGGGTTGCCTGCCCGGCCGACACGACCACTGCGGTGGGCTAGCGACACGGCGTCTGCACATGCAAAAGAACAAAAGCCACGTGGCAGAGAGGCGTTTAGATCCTTCCGAGGCGCACCAGCATTTCAAGGGCTAAAGAAAGCTGCACACGCACTGCATCAGCGGAAGGGGGCCATAAGAAGAGCACAGCCGCCATACCCCCGACTCTCATGCCCACTTACAGACACGGTGTTTGCAGTGTGAGGAGAGGGAAAAACTCTGTTTCCTCCCCCCCTTCTCTCCCTCCCCCGTAATCTAATTGTACATCCGAGGCTAGAAAGCGCAAAACGGGATTACTGCGAACATGGGACAATCCCTGGCCAAAGAGCACCAGGAATTGATTGCAGCGACACCCGCAGTGTCAAGACACCCTACCGTTTGGCAGGTCGAAGTTGATCACGTGCGTGAGAAGCGGGAAATCCAGCCCCCTTGCTGCTGTCTCCGAGGCGACAAGCACAGCAGCAGTTCCGCGTGAAGCCGCGCCGGAGACAGGCGCAACCTCTTGCATGGCGGCAACAGCAGCACGGCGAGTCGTCCCGTCGGCATCTCCCTCAAGAAGAATACACTTTGCACGCAGTCGAACAGACAAGGCCCTGTGCAGGAACACTGCAGCCTTCTGAGCAAGGAGCAAGAACATCACATTGGTAGCCAAACACGAGCTGCATCCATGGATGTGTGCATGCCATGCCCTCTATTCGCTGGCTAGACAGGGAAGCAGCAGCAGCATCAGCTGCTGCACGTGAGCTCAGCAGTTTGGCGCGCAACGCTTGCTTCCTTTTCAGACTTGAGGGGCCCTCTTACCGGAGATCTGCAGAAGATGATGCATCTCTTGTTGAGGGGTTCCGCTTGCAGCAGCCGTAGCAGCAGCGCTACCTTGTTGGCCTGGTGTACGTACAGCGCGAGGTGCAGCAGGTTCGAGGGCAGAGCATTTGTCGCCAACGAGGCAGGAACAGAAACAGGAGCCGCTAAGACAGCAGCAGACCGCCCAAGACCCTTCAAAATGGCTTGAGGCGCTGCACCAAGGGTAGCAGACGCAAGCATTAGCTGCGGGGAACCCTTTCCCCCTTCCGCCGTGCTCAAGCAACGCTGCAGCAATTCAATCAACTCCAGAAAGCGGTCTCCCTTCTTGCCGCTCTGGCTGCCACTAGGACTGCTACTACTGCCATTACTGCCGTTGCTGCTACTACTGCCATTACTGCCTTTGCTGCTGCTACTGCCATTACTGCCTTTGCTGCTACTACTGCCATTACTGCCTCTGCTTCCGTTGATGCTTGGGCCAGTGCTCTTATGAGATCCGCCGACGCTGCTGCTGCTGCTGAAAGCATCTGCCTCGTCGATTACTGCAAACGCGAGCCGGTGCAGCTGCAAGGCACCCAGACTCTTCGGCCGTTTCTCCTGGTGCTGCTGTTTCGCCGCTTTGAGCCGCAAGAGCTGCAGCAGACGCCCAGGAGTTGCACACAACAAGTTGGCCTTCTGCTGCCGCAGCCGCTCCAGCAGCAGACGCGGGTTGGCTCCCCCCACCAGCAGTGCAGGCCTTACTGCAGCAGCGCAGCGGCAAGCATCGGCGGAGGCTGCTGCTGCAGCTGCTGCTGCTGGCGCTGCTGCAGGGAGGCGGCAGCGATCCAGCAGGTGCCGCTGCCGCTGCTGCTGCTGCAGCTGCATGCTCAGGGAGTTGCAGAGTCTGTACACCTGGGCAGCGGCCTCTCTGCTTGGCGCGAGGACCAGCGCTCTGATTCCACCCTTGGCTTGTGATATTTCCGAGCAGACATGCTGTTGAGCATCTTGCTGCCGCACCAGCTGCTGCTGCTGCAGCTGCAGCTGCTGCTGCTCTGCCTGCTCTAGCAGGTGCTGCAGGATGGGGAGGAGATACGCCAACGTCTTGCCGCTGCCTGTTGGACCGGGCAAAAGCAGCACGCCTCCGCTTCTTTCGCTGCAGTTGCTCCCGCCAGTCATCTGCTTTTGCTGCCTCTCTGAATGCCACCGAAGGGCCTCCTGCTGCAGTGGAGTCAACGACTGGATGCCTCCGAGCTGCACGGATCGCCGCAACAGAGGATGAAGCAAGTTCAGGGAGTTCCCATGAGTGCTGCTGCTATTGCTGCCGCTGCCAGGAACGTGTGAAGATGCAGCAGTAGTAGCAGCCGCGGCGGCGTCTGCGGCTGTTCCCTGCGGCAGCAGCTGCTGCTGCGGAGGAGCTTGGTGAACACCTAGCGCCTCGGCTGGAATATGCGGCAGCGTATTCAAGTCGACGAGACCATCGACACGGACCGCTTGCTGCTGCCCCTGGTGCTCAGGATTTTGTTGCTGCTGCTGTTGGAAAATCGCTCTAATACCAGGAACAAGAATAGGAAGCTCAGCAGCAGAAGCAGCAGCTGCAGCAGCAGAAGCAGCAGCTGCAGCAGCAGCAGCTGCAGCAGAAGCAGCTGCAGCTGCAGCACCATCCGCTTCTGCTACGGCTCTGGTCTTCGTGCTTGTGCTACCCTTGTTGTTAATGCTTCGCTTGCTAGCAGAGGGCTGTTGCTGCTGTTGAACTTTGTTTGGCGATTGTCCATCTCTTAGATGTTGCTGCACTTGGTGGTGCTTCCGACGGTGGGAGCGTTTGGTGCCTGTACTCTCCAACAGCTGCAGCACTTGAGTCTCAAGAGACCTGCTGTTGCTGCTGCTGCTGCTTGCTCCTTTCAACAGCTTCTGTTGCCTCCGCAGCTGTTGCTGTTGCTCTTGCTGCCATGACAACAACTGCTGCCGTCTTACTTGCTCCGGCGGGGGATGTTTCCTTTTGCTGTGCTGCTGCTCCATACGCAGGCCCACCGCAGTGCCTGCAGCAACGGGAGAAAGAAAGGCTTGATGCTTCTCGCCACAGCGAGCCGCTTCTGCTGTGAAAGAAAATAGCAGCAGCAGTAGCGTTGCGGCTGTCAGCAACGGTCGAAACCGCTGCACACGATGTTGATGAGGATGCATGATGTTGCTGTTTGCCGCGGCAATTGCAGAAAGCAGCAGCACGCGGATAAGCAGCCACTGCTGCTACAGTGCAGCCGGCACACATGATATTGCACCTACAGCAGCATGTAGAGCTGTTGTTGGTAAACCGTTGCGAGAATCAAGCCAAGCGCCTTCTTGCTGTTGCAGCAACGCCAACTGGTACTTCTGCAGGGCAGTTGGACTCCATGGCCTTCTTCCCGCTGTTGCTGCTGCCGCTTTCGCCGATACTCTGAATAGCTACTCAATGGCTGCAAGGGTAGAAGGCCAGCACTGTATACTTGCATGCGTTCCAAGGGCGCCTACCAATCCGCATTCTGTTGCTACACCTCTGTTGGCACCGCGCACAAGGCAGACATTTCGAATCTAGCTCCGTGCAATGTTCTCGAGATAATGGGCAGCTGTACCAGGATGCCCCAGCAACACCTTGCTGGACGCACACAGAGAGGGTTAATCATGATGCACAAGTCTCCATCCAGCTTAAATGCAACCGCACAAACAGTGTTAATGATGTGGCTTATCGCGGCATTAATCCATCGAAGGTCGCTGTGCAGTAGCAATGGTAGCAGCTGTCTGTGCCCTCCTTCCCTTTCATTCAAACAGTGCTGCTGCTGCTGCTGCACCCTCTCCCAGCCCCTACTACACTGCAGAGTGATGGCAGCGAAGCCGCAGAAGTGGCGGCAGGGAAAGGCATATCAAAGGCAGTCCATCCGAGTATACGTACCATTATGCATTCAGAGGACGGATTTGTACTCTATTCGGGGTGAATAGGGAGCCGCGGAGGTCCGTGCGGCTCCACGATTCCTCTCGCTCCCTTTCTTACGGTGTTGCAGTGAGCATCCCTTTGCCAAAGGACATCGCTGCTCTAAATGAGCAGCAGCAGCCTCACGTGCAGCATTTATCAAAAGCATCTATCTGGGAAGGAGTTCTGGGCTTCCTTGCTCCATTTCTACAGTCGTGTACAGAGCAGCCGCAGAGGCAGCGGCCGCCTGGCAGCATCTCTCCGGTTGCTTCTGGAAGTCTCCTGTTCTCGAGTTTTCAGGGTGACGGAAGGCCAAACAGTAACGCTAGATCGGTGCGGCTGAGTTTTTGTACTGTTGAAAACACGTATCTGTTGTCTCCGGTGCGTCATTTGACGGCCGCTGCTGCGCAGGTGCTCAAGCGTGTGGATAGCCACACGGGTCTTCTTTTCCTCTTGTTTTCGCTTCCCGTCGGATTCGAAGTTTGTCACACTTCGCTGCTTCCTCCAATGGCTCGTTCTGACGCTCAAGAGATAGTCCAGTCTCCCGCCACCGTGCTGCCGTCACACCGCAGCAGCTTTTCCTCCTTGGACGGTTATGCAACAGCGCCAGCAGCTGCAACTGGAAACCACGGGGGGGGTTGGTGTTCTCGATCCGATCGCACTCCCTGCGGCCAAGTGACAGACCCTTTGGCAAGTCCTATGGCCTGCAGGTTGCTACCCGTACAGGGGTGTCCAGCAGTAACGGTAGCTGCAGCGGTGGCTGCAGCTCCCCTGAATTGCACCTGCGCGGAATGCTGCTTGGCGACTAAGGGATTCCAGTGCGACCAGAAGGAGCAGCAGTACATCGCTCAGCTTTTCAGCTGCTGTGACACCTCGACGGTAGACGCCCTGTTGTTGGCTCTCCTGGCGAGGATAACTTCGGAGCATCCGCAGCTGCTCCAGGAGAAGTTCCTTCGAGTGCTAACGGGCACCGAGGAAAAGGTGGTGAGTCGAATTCGAGGCTTTTGGGCTGCTTTCGACACTGCCAGTGTACCTGCTGTAGCGGCAAGGGGGATTGGCGTCCCTGTGCTGCCGACACAGGGCATTTCTTGTGCGCCATGCCGATTTCCTAGCAGGGGACTGTGGAGCTTTTCAAATTTAGGGTTGAGCAGGGGGCTGTGGCAACAGAGGCAGCCATAACGGCAAGTGGAGTAGCAGCAACCCGCGGAAGGAGGTGCTTTTATGTATGTGTGTGTATGTGTGTATGTGCATTTTATCGCTTGCTGCAGCACTGTTTGGATGCCTCGGGGATGAGTGAGGTTGATTTTAATGCAGAAGCCCGCAAGCCACACCTGCAACTCTCGGAATCTCATTCAGCTGGCACGATGCATCATCTTCTGCAGCAGCAGGAGCACCTTGCCTGCATAGGCAACGGCAGCAGCATGAACGACAAAGATGGGTGCTGCATGCAGCGGATTGTCGTTATCGGGCTGCAGTGCCGAAGCAGCAACAAAGATGTGCGGCTTTTGCGGTGGGCACGAAGGCATTTGTTGCGTCCTAACGATATTGCGGTGCTGGTTTCTTGTTGGGAGTTCGCCAGAGATCCTAAATATGTTCGCGTTCCAGGTAAGGGAGACATGAGGTATTATTGCGGGGATTCGATTAGACTACTCCGCCGCGCGGTTGCTACCGTTGGGACTGCGATTAGGAAGGGTTGTTAGATCTGGCGCCTTCAGGTGTATGTGCACCTCGCTGTATGTGCATCTCTTTGTGTGTGTATGCTTTTATCGTGATGCTGATGCCCTTATTCATCCATACATCGCAGATTTACCGTTTGTTCCTTCTGCTACGTGTGTCTATGCGATTCAGGAATGATCCTTTCGGCTACCTCCGCAGCAGGCGCGTACAACCGCCAGCAGCAGCATCAGGTGCAGCAGCGCATGCGGAGTTTGGCGGGTTCTGCCCTAAAAGGCTTGCATGTTTACTGTCTTGCAGTACCCATCAGTGAGCCTCACCTATTCACGCGCTGCATCTGGCCTGCCTGTTGTGAAACAGTCTTGCACGCTGAGGGTTGCTGGTGTGGGGCCCTCTGTGCCTCGCTGGCAGCAGAACTGCGTTTCCCTCTTTCTTTTGGTGTGCTGCACCATCGCATGCGTGCCAACGTCGGCGTGTATGCGCCCTCCTGTGTGTGCATGCTGTTCGCAGGCAGCACCAACAAGACTTCGGTGGGAGATCTGCTGTGTCGGGTGTCTCGGGAGCTGCATGCAGATGCGATTCTCCTGGGCGCGCGCAGCCACTGGCACCTTACCAGGATGCTCTTTGGTTCTGTTGCTGGCTACGCTAGGGCGCATGCAAACTGCCCCGTGCTGCAGTGCAGCAACACGTGACGGCTTCTATCCCGAATTCAAGAGCAGCAGCAGCAGGCCCAGCTACTGAAGCGCCGCCGCTGCGAACGGTATAATGGAAAGGTTCAAGGGTGCTGAAGGAGCAGCACCAGCTGATGCACAGCACTAACGGGTAACTTCTGCGTGCATGCGTCCATGCATGCATGCATGCGTCTATGCCTGCATGCATGCATGCATTTCTGAGGAAGAGCTTCCTGCCGCTCCAGGAGCAGCAGCAGCAGATGCAGCCTTCCTGCAAAAGCATGTACAGCGGGAGCAAAGCCGCGCCCGCCACAAGGTTCTTACGTTTTGCAGTACCATGCATGCAACGACGTTGTGTGCATGAAGAATTGCAACAGGAGATAAAAAGGCGTGGTAAACCTAACTGCCAGCTTCCTGCAAGGACTGCAACAGCAGCGGCAGACAGCACCGATTAGGCTTCCGTCGTCTTCCCGTGACAGCGCAAGTCTGTTTCCTGCGGACGCAGCAGCCATCCATGTTTTCAACGCCCAAGTTTGGTTCAATTCAGAGAACAGGCTGGGTGGATGGCTGCTTCCCGCAGATGCAACGACTCTGTGGCACCGAACTTGCATGCGATTTACAAGGCTGGCCGGGGGCTCCTTAAAAGAGAGGTTCTGTTGGGTATAAGGAGGGGAGCTAGGGCCTTCTTGAGCATACTACTCTTCAAGTGTACCAGTAAGGGGGCGCATGCGATTGAGCCTGCCCCGGGTGACATATCCTTGCATATATTTATAAACTGCACACGTCGCATGTATCTATGTATATATCGATATCTTTAAGGATAAAACTTAGTCTCATCAGGCGCGTCCAGGTGTACGTGTGTGGGTATGCTTGTGTGGGGAGAGTTCCAATTTCTTGGGCGACTGATGCGTTTAGCCCCGAACTTCGACTTTTGCTTGCATGCGTTTTAACGGACGGATTCAGGGGCAGCTACCGCCTCCTGTAGCGTAAGTAGTAGCTGCTAGTGAAGGAGCTGCAAGCGGAATAGGGAGAGGACGGCCGGCGAGGCGTCCGTCTAGAAAAGAGTAGAGTAGGTGGAGCTATGGTGAATGGACTGAGGGAGTCTGCCCATATACATGCACCACCAAAGGATATGGACACGCACAGCCCAAATTCAGTAGCACTGGGGAGCTGCAGGTTATAGTGATGCCTACGGGGTGCCCAGAAACCTGGCCTTCCGTTGGTATGTAAAGGTGCCCGTGGGTATGGGCAGGGCCAGTTTCTTTTGTAGAAACTCTTTTCATGGATTTGTAGGCTTGGCAGCATCTCGTTTTGGCGCAGCACGCTTCTAACGTGGCGGTATAGCCTCAGTACTGTACCGGCTGTTCTGTCACGCGCAGCTGTAGCGGCAACAGATGCACAAGCACGTGTGTGTCGCACTAAAGATCCCACTGGATGTGCAGTGAGGGCGCTCGGTTGCTGGACTCACAAGTGTGAACAAGCTGTATATGTGCGCCTTGCCGCTTGCAGCAAATCTCTCCAGCTAGGCTTTTTCGCCTTCTGGAACTACGCAAAGTTTACGATGATTGCTGGTCTGGGGCCGTTTCCTACTTTCCAGAAGGGCGTGTGGGACCGTGTGTGCGTTGCCTGTGGGATTGTTACACACAACCAGAAGCAACGCGCCCCTAATACAAATGATTTCTAACCACAAGTCTTGTGGATCAAGCTAACTGTGGCGTCATTAACGCAGCTCTCTGTGTGATCATTGGTGGTTTTATTTCTAAGTTTTGTTCATATTTCCCTTGCGGCTTTACTTGATCAGTTCTGCTGCTCCTGGAAGGTTTATTAGAAGCCATGGTGAATTTTAGTGAGGGGCTTTCCGCCGAGAGGACGCGAGAAAGAGCATGACGCAGGGGCAGCTACGGAATCAGAGACCCCATAGAGAACAGAAGATAAAACTTGGGATCCATGGTGAAACGGCCTCTGTTTGGCCGTCCAGAGCAGAACGTTGAGTGCAGGAAGGATGAGTAACATTTCAGGCGTACATCATCGACGCGCCAGAACACATACTTGCCTTCTATTATATGTAATTATCTGCATAAATTGAGGTGGGAAGGTCTGTAGGTCTGCTTTTAATTCCATACTTGATGTCATTCCGGACCAGTCCATCCATCTTACTGCAACAGCAGCCGAAGTCTTTTCATAGATGCGGAAGAGCGTACATTACGGTTTGCGTGCCTTTTAAGAAAAAGACACCATGTGGATAAATATTGACGAATCATATCGTTCATGTGTTTCTATTCGCAATGTAGAGTCTGCTCGTAGTCGTATGCCTAGCCACAGCCTGGTAGATGCCACACTTTCGGGCTCATTTCGCCTTAAAATACTTCTGATTCCAGCTAAAAAAGCCTTAAAATGGATTAAAAGTGCTAGTATTAATTTAATTTCCGTTCACTTGACGGAAATAGGCTGCCCCTGGAAAAGCCCGCTTGGCGGCGCAGGCCTCTCACCAGTCAGTACTCGAGGGAAGGGGGGTGGCGCAGTGTTGTAACAACCTCCCCGTTTTGCTCTAGTTCTGCTTCGTGTCAGTAATTTTGTATATCATTGAAACACGTTTTATATTTGAAGTATTTAGGGGTTTGCTCAGAAAATTGGCTAATTATTATTTTTTGCTCACGCTGCTGAGCTGAAAGAGTGACCCCCATTCTCAGCAGCGACATCAGTTCAAATGAACTTCTTTGTTACCTTTGAATCCTTCTCTGGCTTCCGTAATTTTTTCCAGACTTTTTTTGACAATATTATACCCGTTTAAAAACTCTTATCTCTCGTCCTTGCCACCTCGAGCTGCTGTTTATGCCCATCAAGTGGGCCTTCTCTCCTCTCTTACTCACCTCCAGGGCTTTCCCCTTTGCTTCCCCAACCTCGTCTTCTGTGGGCATTGAAGTGCCCTCTTTAAGACCCCTTCTTTCCATTCCTATGGCTAACTTGAACACCAGGGCCACTGTGGCCACAAGGGAAGAACACAGCAAAAAAGTGCAGTGTTTGCTAGCCAGGTCTGGAAACGCAGAGGCGTGCCACAACGAAGGCGCTCCTCGTTCTCAGGATCGTAGCAGGGAGTCTGCAGAGGCTGCGGGGCGCATGCAGGCTCTCGAGTCCAACCCTTATTCCGGCTCCAAGCCAGAGGCGCTCATGAACGAGCCTTCCCCAGCAACGCCTGCCTTCAGACTGTCACCCCTGTGCATTGAAGGGTGTCACGTGGGGTCCACCCGTGTGCAGATACATGGGGAACAACTGTTTAAAAGCCACGAGCACGAGGCGTTACTTGCTTCTTGCTCCCTTGACATTCAAGCTCCCAGTGCTCCTGGGGAAGGCCAGCAGGAAGACACCCTAATAGAGTGTCAACAAAAAATGCAAACCTCCCAGACGAATGCAAGGCGACCTCAGCATCGGGAGAGAAAGAGGCAACACCGCCACAAACAGCGAGTGACCCTGGAAGGGGCCTCTTTTTTTGCCAATCCAGAAATTGCGCCAGTCGTAGGAGGCCCTCCCCCAGGCACAGGCACCACAGCTTCCCATCGCAGAGGCAACAGACTCCCTTCGCTGCAAGCAAGAGCTGCAAAGCCTCCTGAAATCTCGTCAGTGTGCGTCGGAGGAGCTTTGCCTCAGGCCTCGCACACCGACGAATTCTCTGCAAAAGGCCCCCCAAGGCAGGAAACATCTAAACAAGAGCATTCCTGCGGGGTATCTCAAACAGGTAGAGTTTTACGCGGCACCAGTGCAAAGCTGAGCAAAGCCCCTTCTTTCCCCGGTAACACACCGCGTGAAGTTCCCCAGGAGCCGCAACACCCAAGGGCCCCTCGGAAGGGCAAGGGGCCCCCCCCTCCGGTATCTCAAAAGGAGAGGCGAATTTCGCCCCAGAACCGAAACAAGAAAGGCACGCGTCTGCTCATACCCCAGCCAGATCAGTCTGTGATATTGGAGGAGCATCCTTTTGAGCGGGCAACAACGACTGACAGCGAGTTGCTGAAGGCTGCGCCAGAGGACGCCTCAGCAAGTGCGCGTGACTTCGTATGCCCTGATCTACCGGCCCCTATGGGAAGGCCTTGGACCATGCAACTTGCATTCGATTTTCCCATGGTGGGAACCTCTCTGAAGGAGGTTGTTGAATGTGCGCACTGTGAAGGAACGGTGGCACTGGCCCCCCTTGGAGAGGCCTTTGGAAAGCCTCTTGTGGAACCCCTTGAAAATGGGCATTTTGTAGCTCCTTATGAGGAGCCATTTAGTGAGCGTGTAGCCTCTACATGGCGGTTTGTGCGCGACGTTCTCGAAAGGGAAGAGGAGCTGAGCGAAGGGCAAGTGGACGGTGTCTCCCTCTATGATGCTTTGGGGGCGACGAGCGAGGGCAGCTGCACTTGCTGCCACTGCGACAGCAGCAGCGGAAGCAGCGATTGTGGCGCTAGCGACTGCGAATATAGCCTGTCAGTTCGAGAGGATACATCAGGTGACAGCGGGACCGAGGAGCCCTCTTACCAAGCGCAGCAATTCACAGATTTCAATCAGGATCACATGCACATCAGTAGCGGCAGTGACAGCAGTGCACGACCTTTTACTCCACGCGCAGAGGCAGCACCGCCTGAACACATGAAGCTGCAGGGAGCCGACTTGCTGCTAGACGCTGTCGAGACAGCAGAGCAGGGTGCCACAGCAACAACGGTCGACACGGTGACGGACGAGGGGGAGACGGCAGCAAGTTGTTCCGCAAAAATTGCATACGTGCTGCAGCGAATTTGCCACCCTGTATCCGTGGCCGCAGCGACTGCGGAGAGCAGCAAGAGCAAGAGCAGCACAGAAAGCAACACAAGCGTGAGTAGTACGAGGAGCAGAGACTCAGAGAGCAGCCGCGTCGCACGAGAGCGGCGGCGTAGACCCCTCCAAGCAACTTCCTCTTCTCTAGTTGATGGACATCAGGCTGAGGGATTTAAGCGACTGCGACGAGCACCCCGTAATCACCTTCCATCTGCGGGGGTAGCAGCTTCAGAGGTGGCCGTGGGGCCCTTGGGGCCCCTGCATGAGCGTGTAGTGATCTTCGACTGGGATGATACCTTTTTTCCCAATTCATGGGTAGCGTCTCGGGGGCTGACACTCTCGTCTGAAGCTTCAGAATACACTGCAGAAGCATCCATGCTCAAGAAGCTAACTAGGAGTGGAAGGAAGGTATTAAGGGCTGCTGCAAGCATCGGGAGTGTGCTGCTGATAACGAATGCTGCCCAAGGATGGATCGACGAAACGTGCAAAAAATTTCTTCCCGGACTGTGGCCGACAGTGCGGTCCCTGCGGCGCATATCAGCGAGGTTTCACTTTGACTCTCCAGCGTGTGAATCGCCTTTTTTATGGAAGGTGAGCTATTAAACTCGTGCAGGGAAGAGGATACACTTGGGCCGCCAAACTGCGGAGGTATCGAGAGGATACAGCTACGCTGGGAACCGCAAGCTAGAGACTCATCAGCTGGGCTATGGAAACTCATCAATGCGCTTGAAAGGATGTCCACAGGCTACCAAAGTGGCTTGCACCACAATGCACATGCACAGCTTCGGCGTTTACCTTCTACGTGTATATGTCTAGCGTGCAGTAGCCTCTGCTGATGTCTTTCAGCTGCACGTTCATATTTCCTCCGGTGTCTATGACGCTGCTTGGCGGCTTCCACCAAGCGCACACCGCTATAGGTTTATATGTTGTATGCATACATAAACGCAAACGCATGTGTCGTTCGCAAAGTGCGTTGGCGTAGTCCCCTGCAGGGGAGTATATGAATCCGGCGCTGGGCTGGATGCCTGCGGCATGTGACAAACACTTTATCAACCTCTTAAGAGTGTGGCTTGTATTGTGCAGCGTTTGGCCTTCAAAGAAGAGATGGACAGACACCTCACGGAGCACAAGCAGTGCAGGACAGTCCTTTCTATTGGGGATGGCCCTCATGAAAGAGAAGCCCTATTCTTTCTCCAGGCGTCGGTTAACACAAAACGTGCAAGTGTTTTAAGAGGGGGAGGAATGAATTAGAAGAAGAGGGCAGTGGGCTTTCGTGGTCCAAGCTGTCTTTTTAAGTGTTTGGCATCCGTCTTCTATACTACTTTGCCTGATGGCGAAGCCAAGTTTAGGCCTTTTCGTAACAGCGCACATCCTTCAATAGATGCATACTTATGACCGTGGAATGCCAGAATGCATGTAGATCCGGACTTTTTTTGTCCACAAGCATGCCTATGTACTTGCATGCCTGCAGGTATATACCTGTATTCTTATGCCTGCATACATATGCATACGTGAATAGCTGGGAAGGGGTAGAGAATATGAACATAGTGGGAAACGAGATAGATTTATGAACATATTTGGGTAGAACTGCACATCTGTACTTATCAACCCTGTGTGTCTTGTTTGGCTGTGGTGACTGCAGAGACGGAAGCGCCAACTATGACTTTTCCTGCAAATCCTTGAAGCTAATCGACATGCCTTCCCTCAGGCACCTACACATCGTAAGACACTACAAGAGCCCCCAAAAAAGCTGCCGAGATTCACGTATACGGTATATATATATATGTCTGCACAATGTGGGTATGTTGAATGCTAATCAGAAAGTATTAAATGAATACAGGTCGTGACCCGCCTGCGGGTTCTTGGAATGTGGAGGTGCCTGCATGGTGTCGTGTTTGCGATTGCGGTTCGCTGTAATTCCGGTTGCTGGCATTATTGCTCTTGCTGCTGCAGCAACACTCGCTGTTGCTGCACACGCTGGAGGATCTGCTGATCCACGACGGCCCGTTGGATTTATGTGTGAGAGGCCCCGATGGGATGGCTGCCTCGCTGGGCAGTTCGTCGTGCAGTGCTGGAATAGAGGCTATTCTACCACCTCCGCTCAGGAGGTCTCGCGTAGTCTCGGAGGAGCTCTGGAGTGCCACAGGGACTCCGGCAAGGGCAGCCGTCAGGTTGCTGAATATGAACTGGCGCCGCTGCAGGAGGGGAAGGGCATCTCTCTTGCACATTGACCACCATAGTGGAGCAGGGACAGAGGTTATGACCGACTGCCTGCCACATTAGCACGATAGTCAGCAGGTTTTAGGTATCTTGTTGCAGCCAGGCCATTCAGGGCACTTAATGCACTTCCCATGAGAGGCGAACATAAGTCTTCTCTGTGGCGACTGTTATTGCGCCGATCGGTGCACAAGTATCCTCTGCTAGCACTACAGTCCAAAAATGCCGATTCTTCGCCTAAAAGAAACATTTATGCTTTGCTGGTGCCACTGCTAGTGTTGGGCTGGTGTGCTGAGCGTGCGGATCGGGAGATCTCCGCGGTCCAAACGCAAGGCGTCATGGGCCTTTCGTTTGACTGGCACAGCACAGCACTAGCGGCAGCAGCACTAAGTGCTAACTAGCACGATACCGCTAGCATTCAAGCTTCAATCAAAAGCCAGGCTGCCCTGCCTGGCAGCCCTCTCGCCTCCGTTTCCGCCTCGGGGAAAGCCCTCTCAACGCCTTGGTATGGCTGTGCTCTTCTGAAGGGCTGATATCCAGACTTTTCTCGAAGAAGGGCTGCCTTGGGTTTCGCTATTATTAAATCGGCGCGATGCAAAGGGGAAGAGGCGCAGCCAGTGCTCCTTTCGCTCACTGCCCAATCGTCAGGCATCATTTGCCGCAGAAGATCATAATGCTGCATATGCCTTTGCAGTAACAACTGCTTATGAATATATCGCACTAAATGCCCCAGTAGGCCTCAGCAAAGAGCCGTCCCTTGATTAGTAAAGGGGCCCATCATTGTTTTCTCCATCGGCACATGGCATTGCAACACTTTGCTCAAGGGCTTCAACTACGAGCGTTGATCTATTGCGTGAACAGGACACTAGCTCCTCGCATGCTGCTGAAGCCGCAGGCGTAAAGTATCAATGCGAAAATGCTACAGGAGTCCGGCTATGCTACCTGTTTCAAGCTGCATTTGCTGATGTTGCATCACGTATAAGGGTAACTGCACGGCGACCTTCGCGCAAGGTGATGAACTTTCTCTAGCCTCTCTATTGTGAAATACAGTAGTGTGTCGGCAGAGTATTAGCTGCTCGGATGATTGGTCGATGGACATTCAGGTATTCAATTCTTTGTTAGTGTACTGCGCCACACAATCGGCTTCCTCAGAGGCGCTCCTGTTATTGGATCTCTTTGCCTAGGTCAATCTTTTTCTCCCTTACGGTCTAGTGGTCTCCTTACAGTTTACCCCCCCCACGCTGTGCACACAATTCCAGTTAGGTCACTCCCTGTATTCGTGGTATGGTTTTGGTGGGCCTTGCGTAGGGATCTAGCTTCCCTTTAGGGGGCCCTCATCCCACAGCTTTAACGAGACAAAGCCAGGGAAAATTAGCTTTTACATAATGGTAAAAGCGGGGAAAGATCACCACAATCAACTAAGTGGCTTGAAACTCTCGTTGCTCTGCGTAGAGATTTTCAGGGAGCCGTAAAGCTCCCCTTTTCCGCGCCTCTCCAGCAACTCTACTGCTCTTGGGTACTCCTGTAGACTGCACCATCGATGCAGTGGCAGTACAGGCAATGCCAAGGTGACCCCTCCTAATGACAGCTGGGAGGCCCTGAATCAGAAACCGTCTTTGGAAAGAATATTGGCTGGGGCTGCCGACTTCTTTTACCGGGGATGTTGAAATTCGGTGCATATATGCATTCAAAGAGGTGCAGTGTTTGCCATGGGCTGTGTGTAGAGGAAGCCAATAGAGCAGCTGCCGAAGCAATGACACCGACAAACTGGACACGCGCTCGGAACGCAGATCTGCATCGAGAGACAAGTGCCATTGATGGCACCCCGTTTTAACTGCCTCTTCAGAATGATCTGCGTTGGCAGTGCCAGTGCCATAGGAGGCCCTGGTGGAGGCGCTAGCTGGGACTTAGCCGCCTCCGTTTTGATTTCTGCGTATCGCACATCTCCTCTTCTACTACCAAAGAAGGAGCCATTCTCTTTCGCGCAGAGTCCGCGGAGCTGCGTTCTTTTTTTGCAGCAGCACTCTCATCAGCACTTGTCTGCGCGTATTCCCTCGGGATAGCAGCGTCAGTCGCCGACTCAGCGGGCTTTGGTACAGCCGCCAGTGTGTCTTTTCCTTGAAAAAGCTGCCCATAGAAAAAGTTGGACCCAGAGCCTTCCTTATCGTGGGTGTTTATCTGTTGATCCCCGAGGGACGCCGGAGAAAATTTATCCTTTCTTGCCTCTAGAACATTCACCTCACAAAAAAGACTCCCTCGAGAGCTCGTGGGAGAGGCTTTTCTGACGTCTGCTTCGAGTAATTCTTCTCGGTGGGCCCTGTGTTGCTCCGATAGGCCTCTATTAGGCGGTTCCATTGGCTCCTCATGGTGTTGCTGCCCTTCGCATGCAGCAACTCCACCAGGGAAAAAGCCTTCTCGGCACGAAAAGGCTTTCTCCCTATCTTCGAGAGTCTCGGCATCTCCATCCGGATGCCCTGCAGCGCCCACACGACTTTCGTGCTTGCCCAGACGTCTGTCGGTGGAAGCAGCAAATGAGGGGAGGGGCTGTTGCAACATATCTGCAAAGGCGTGAAGGGGCGCTCCAGATTTCGACACCTCTCCATGCGCCTTCCTGTCGAAGACGACCTTTAAAGCCTCGCCTGCAGAAGCATCTTCTGACGAATCTTCAGCGGCAGAAGAAGTTCCCATGAGCGTATCAACAGCAGCCAAGCCCGCTGCTGTAGCACCAGGAGGGTTCAAATCATCATCGACTCCCCGAATGAGTTTTGCAGGAAAGGGCATTTCCGACGGATACAGCGAGTCGCCCTCGTTGCTGGACTGGCTCCGGTTTGTTTCTTGACTTGGCTTAAAGCTTGAACCGATGTCGTCTTTAGTCCATGGGCCTCTTGGCATATACGAGGCTCTAGGGTCAGCCGCTGCAGCTGCCGCTGCAGCAGCCGCTAGAGAGCCAGGAACGCCAGAACTGAATCCTTCTCTCTCCGAGCGCTGAGCTAAAGCTGCCTCTAAGGGCTCAGAGGCACTCCTTCGACACGCATTCGCGGCGGCCTCAAACAAAGGGGGTTTGCTGCTCGTGCTGCTGAATCGCCTTCCAGCAGGAGAAGCGGCAGCGGCAGAAAAGGTAACGCCAGGGGGAGAAAGCTTAGCAGAAGCCTTGGATCCCTTTCGTTTACGACCCCGCAGCCTTGTCTGATTGCCGCGTAGCTGGCGAGTTGGAGCCGTGAGGAACCCTTGCTTCGTCCCTTCCTTTTGCATGTGATGCTCCTTCAGGAGGCGCTCCTGATGCTGCACTACCAAGTGGCGTTCCAGCTGCCAAACTTCCTGCCTACTGTACAGGCGGCTGTCTTGCGCGTGGCGTGCCCTGCAGGCTCTCCCAGCACCGCGAAAGGGCCTTGTGCTTTCCGACGCGTCAAGCGTGGCGACTGCATCGGAAGCTTCTACGGGTTTGGAGGGATCAGCTCGCAGAGTCCTCAAGGGTGCCCTTCTCCCCTCGACATCGTCATCCTGGTCGTCATCCTCTAGCATTGCCGGCTCGTGAGAGGGAGGCAGGGGGGGGTGTAATGGCGCGAGATAACGAGATCCTGGATATGCTCCACTGGGGACTGCATTCAGGGGGGCAGCTGGGGGAGACGGGTGGCACTGCAAGGGAGGGCAGGCCATAAAAAGCTCTTCGGGAGTTTGAAACAATGACAGCGGCGTTTCAAGATCCCGCCAAAGGCCACTGACGGCTGCGCTACTTCCTTTGAGACACTCCATAGTGCCTCCAGTAACTGCGATCCGTTTGATGGCTCTCATGCACGGGGTCTCTGAGCCGGGGGGCAGTATCTGCAGTGTGTCTACAGCTAGCGCCTTTACGGCGTTTTTCATCTCCATGCTATTCCCAATGACAAGCTCTTGAAGGTCTCTGTCCTGCGCTCTCTGGCGCAAGGTTGCTACCTCCACAAGAAACTCAGGATACTGACATAGCAAATCCTCCGTCTTTGCAGACAGCTCCCGCAGAGCCTCCAGCAAGCTCTCCTGTAGCCGTTGCTGCGCTTCTAGCTCTTGCAAAGCCTCCACTTGATCTTGGGGATCCACAATGTGCATCACAAACTTTACAAAGGGCTTCACATCTACCTGCGGGAGTGCAAAGCACGCGTCGCACTGCTGCAGCAGTTCTACTATCCCGCGCAAGACAGTTTTCCTGTCTGGCGCACTGCCCTGTAATATTTCGTCATGCAACGCAGGCGCTGGGGGCTGAAACGGCATGTTTGTACGGCATCGAGCAGCTTGCAAGTCCTCCCCAGGCCTTCCAAGCGTCTGAGCATACAGAGTCGCACGAGTGGCCATTGCCTCCGTGGCGGCTGCTGCTGCTTCTGCCGCTATCGCTGCTGCTACCCCTGCAGACGTAGCCGCATGAGCTGCTGCGGTTGGATTGAGCCTGCCGTGAGAAGGGGTGGACGTTGAGCGTGCTCCAGATCCTTGAACGTCTGCCGTCGAGGTTGCTGTAGAATCCACCGTTCCTGCCAGCTGCGACATCAAGGCCTGCCCCCCACCACCACAGGCAGCTGCTGATGTCGGATACGGTCTAGTGCTGCATTCGCTGCTGCTGTATTTGCTTCCGTCAGCCATGCAGTCCATACTCTGCCTCCTGCGGCTGCTAGAGTTGCTGCTGCTTCCACCAGCGTGCGTGGGATTGCCACTGCACTTGTCGGTGTTGCCAGTTTCAACTTCGTGATGCGTGGCTGCGAGACGCAGCAGACGTTCCCCCTGAATACCAAGCACTGCTTGATGCTCCACGATCTTCAAAAAATGGTCTTCTAAAGCCTGTCGCATTGGGTGCTGGCCGCTTTCGTCAAACTGGAGAGCTCCTGCTTCTTCCCGCCCTATTGGAGGCATTACATGCTGCTGCTGCTGCTCATGGGGTTGGTGCACTAGCGGCTGCCTTGAGCATTCAGCCACTCCTTGATGACGCTTGAGCAAAAAATTGAATGCGGCTTGAATCCTCCTTCGGTGCGCCTCCGACAGCGGCGGCCACAGCCCTGCATGCGTCTGGGGTTCTGCCGCTTGCTGCTGTTGCTTCTGCTCGAGATGGAGGCTTCCCTGTGCGGGTGCCTGCCGAAACGGCTGCTGCATGCAGTGGATTTGCCGCTGCTCCTCATGGAGGCGTCCCTGAGACATGCATGCAGCCGCTCGCACAATTTGAGCGGGGGGGAGAACCTCCGTCTGCTGCTGCAGCACTTGTGGCTGCGAAACGCCACGCTCCAAGCTGCGGTTGTACTGTTGGTGCTGGTGTTGGAGAGTTCCTAGTTCAGCTTGCTGCCTCACGCTCATTGCTACTACCCTTCCTTGGTGATGCTGCTGCAGTATGCCTCTCATCTTTTTGTGCTGCGTTTCGAGGCGCTGCTTCATTTTCGGATGTGCAGACAGCAACTGAATGTGCTGCTTCTGTTGCAGCTGCAGTTGATTGTTCTGCATCGTGTGAAGTTTTGCCATCTGCCACTTTTGGTGACAATGTACCTGCTGAAGGTGTTGCAGCTGAAGCTGCATATGATGCCTGATGCGGTCCATGGCTTTCGCAGGCATGTCGGGGGAGTGCTCTTCCTTGCCCTTTTGTTGGTGCTGGATGGCCTCTGGAGTCGCTGCGTGACTTTGCTGCAGCATTTGGATACGCTCACGATTGTAATCCGTGAGTATGTCGGGATGCTGTCTAAAATCGTCTCCTCCCTGATAGCCACCTTGCGACCTCGAAGTTCCTTGTTGATGCTGCTGCTGCAGACAGAGTGGCAGCAGCTGCAACAGCGGCTGCAAGGGCTGCTCTTCTTCCACAGGCTTCTGCTGCTCGCTCAGACGCTGTTGAGCGTCTGCCTGTCGAATCAAGTACGCAAGCGGGAGTCGCTGTATTGCTTCTTGGTGGCACTGGGGTGGTTGCGGCTGCGCGTCCTCTAGCACTTGCTGTGTGTGCTTCGGTGGAGAGGGAGATGCAGTGTCGTCTTGTTTCGCTAGCCGATGCGAGGAGCGCTGCTGCAACAGACGCAGCTGCTCCTCATACACAGAAGACGTAGGAACCAAGCGTCCAGCGTGTTGCAGATCGGTTTGAAGCATTGGATGCAGCAGCATATCCGGGTGCAGCCGGCCCAGTGGACTCTGCATTTCTGAGCATGCTGTTGGCTCGGGGGGGCACTCGTGCCTGTGTAAGGTTTGCTTTCGAGGAGAAGGATTTTCAGAAGCGCTGACACTGCGCACCAACGTCTGCCCCTGCATGTCGCAAAGTTCGCGGTGCTGCTGCAGCTGCAGGATCTCCTGCACACGCAGCTGCAGCATCAGCTGTTGCCGCTCTGCTGCAGATGTAGCAACTAGGGCTTTGTAGCCTAGCTCCGCAGTCCGCTTAACCAGCTGCTGCTGGTGGAAAAGGCTTTGCTGCAACTTCTTCCTAACATCTGCTGCTGTGGAAGGCTGGTGAGCGGTGCCGCCTTTCTCGCTCTCCTGCTGCGGCTGTCTTTCAGAAACAGCACGATTGGCGATGTGCCGCTCCAAAGAGGCTTGGGCTGTTATAGGGCTTCGTTCAGGCACGGAACATGCACACAGTAGAAGCGCTAGTCGCCTCTGTTCAGCTGATGCCTCATGCATCCGCTGCGCTTCCTGCCTCTGCCAGTCTTGCCGCTGCCCTTGGACAGCCTTCTGATTCTCGAGGGGGTGTTGCTGCTCCACATGGTAAGCGCGTTGCGAGTCTCGTATCACCTCCGAACTGTTTCGCTCTTGAAGGCCCTTCATGTCGGGCAGTAGCGGGTGCCTTGCCGTCGAACTTGCCAATAATGCATGCAGCGTTTCTGCGCTCGAACACAGACGCTCAGCTCTTGCAGTCGTCTCCGAGTCCAGCTGCACATGCAGCTCTTGGTGTCTCAGAGCAGCGGAACCACCCTGCCCTGGCATTCCTTCCCTAAAACCCTGCTGCGCATCCGCCTTTGGGTGCGGCAGGGTGTGCCGCTGCACCTGCTGCGGCTGTGGAGAACTCGGATGCTCTTGAGGATGAGGCCACTCTAGCAACTCCTCCTGAGGCTGCTGCTGCTGCTGCTGAGTTGCACGGAATTCGGGGAGCTGCTTTTGCGAGAGCCATGCCTGGTGCAGCAGCAGCAACTGTGCGCATCCCGAACCATCGCTGTTGCCGTCTGTCCCCATGGTCTCGCGCTGCAACTTCTGGAGTAACGCATGAATTTGCTGCAGCTGCTGCAGCACGTGGGGGTGTATAGGAGGAAGCGGTGGCTGCGTCTGGGAGTCCGCATTTGTGGCTTCTTCGGCCGAGCCTCGAGGAGGTAATGGCTCTTGCAGTTGGAGCTGTTCTCCTTGCCGCTGCTGCCCCTCTTGCTGCGTCTGCTGCAACAGGGAGGCCCTATGCAGGGGCATCTCAAGGCTCTGTAGGCACGCAGATGAGAGACGCTGCTGCAGATGCAGCTCTACGGGCTGCAGTTCTGGCGAAGACAGCGGTTGCGGAACGCTTTGCAGCGCATGCAAACGTTGCTGTGGACGTGCTTGGTGCTGCTGCAGCACTGTTTCTTGCTGCTGAAGCGGCTCCTCGAAGCTCCTAGCCGGAGTCTGCAGCACTGCTCCATGGGTGGGGGACTGCTCGTTGAATTCCAAGTCTTCGCATTCCTCATTCTGAGTGACCAGACGCAACTGCTCTTGCAGCTGCCTCTCCCTCAGGCCTTGAAGCCCCCGCTCCTGTCTGAGGTGCTGCTGCCGGTGATTGAGCTGCTGATGATCCAGCATCAGCTGATCCTTGTTAATATTCCGCATGGTCTTTTGTTTTCGTGGTCCTTGGTGCTGCTCCCACCGATGCCGTTGCCTCTTCTCCTGCTGCTGCTCTGCATCAGCTTGTATGCGCAGCTGCTGCAGCTGATTCAGCCCCCCTATGTGCTCCGTGTCGATCAGCTCAACTGGCCTGCGCTTCGGTTTGTCTGGAGGTGCAGGAAGCCCAGCGGCAAGAAGTCTCTCCTTATAAAGCTGCTTCTCCGCTAGTATTTGCTTTTGTCGTTCCTTCTCCTGCTCCACTAGAAAGGCTTCCTCTCGATGATTCATGAGCATCTGCTGCTGCATGACAGCGTGTATATCTGCCTCTTTCATTGGACTTGCATGCAGCTTTCGGAGGTATTGGTGCTGTGCCCCCTTGGCATGCCGCTGAGGCGCCTCAAAGAACTGCTGTGGCAGCGGCGGAAGTCCTATCTGCTGGTAAATGTCTGCGACAAGATCATTTGTGTCTTTCATGTGCCGCTGTTTGAGGTCGTCTATTTGCATGCTGTGAAGGTGCTTTAACTCCTCCGTTTGCTGGGAATGGCGAAGTTGTACTTCTTTCTGCTGCTTGCGAGACAGCTTCGTTTGTTGGTTTACTTGCTCAAGCTGAATGCCCCTTAGGGCGTCCAGTTGCATATCATGCTCCAGCTTCACCTGCTGCAGCTCGCGTTCTTGCTGCTGATGCTGCTCTCGTAGCTGCTGTAATCGCTGCCTCGGCAGAGTGGGTGCTACCAGCTCGGCCTTGTCGGTGAACGGCTGCGCAGCTACTGCCTTCTGTTGCTGATCACCAGACAGATGCTCACGTTGTTGCGGCACGTGGCCATCTTTGGAGCATGCATTCAGGGAGAATTCAGGCTCAGTAGGATGCGGTTTGCCTCGGGGCTTCTTTTGTAGCTGCCGAGACGCCTGCGCGTGCACCGGAGACGAATCCCTCTGTATTCTGACAGATTCCAATCGCTGACTCGCACAGTTTAATTTTCGTGTATCCTGCAGGTGCTGCTCCTTCTGCAGCTCTATAACGGGCTTTACTATTTTGGGGCCGCTTTGGACCATGCATATCTCGTGCTGTTTGGCACAAGCCAGATGCGCCTCAGATATAGGTTGATCTTCCTGCGACTGCTCCTGCTGCTTCGGTCGTTGCTGTTGCTTTCGCAGCTGCACTTGGTCCTGCGTCGACTGGCAGCACTGATCTTGCTTTCGCTGGTGCTCCTTGTCGGGGGGGAGCTGCTGCTGCTGGTGTTCCTCCAGCACGTCTGTGGACAAAAAAGACATGATCTGATGAATAGCAGCCGCATCCTGCTCCACCTGGTTCTCTGCCATTAAGCGTAATGCGTCGTTTTGGTGCTCATAGGTTTCCTCTTGGTGTCTTGGATTCGCTTGTATAGAGGACGCTACCAGATCCTGGGAAGCTGGGGGACGCTGCCGATTGTGCTGCCTACCTAAAAAGCTTCTTTTACGCTGCGGAGACAGCTGCTGTGTGTGCTGTCGGATTTGAAGGAAATCCGCACTAGTCTTTGGCACGTCTTGCATTTGCTGCTGTGGTGAAGCTTGCTCTGCGCTGGACTGCAGCTGTGGCAATACACCAGCGCCATCAGATGGCTGGCAGGGCTGTTGCCTCTCACAGCAAATCATGGGAGTCTGCAGAACTTCTGCAGGAGCATTTGAGCTCTCTGCGTGAGACTTGCCGTGTGAGGACATGCTCGAGGAAAGAAAGCGGCGTCGAACACGTTGGTGCACTGGCAACGAGGGCAGTGCTCGGCTGAGAGCCGCACTGGCAGTCCTTTGCATCAACTGTGACAGTTGTTGTTGCTGTTGTTACTGCCGGTGCTAGGGACTGTTTGGCGGGCACCGTGAGCAGAGATATGTTGTGGTCTCTCTGCACGTTGTGTCAGCACGGCGAGCCTTGCTTGGCGTTGTGCCTTTATCTGGAGATGAAGGCCGTGCTGCTGCTCTGCGCTGGAAAGAATTCGGCGGCGACTCAAGACGCTCCTACTCCACGTGAGGCTGCGCCTTCAGCACGCCTTGCTTCAACATATTTATCCCAGCTGTTGCTGCATTAGATGCCAGTGCTGCGCCTGCAGACGACGCTTCTGTGCACCTCGCCTCACAGACAGTGCAGACGCTGTTGCGCTCTTGCTGAATGCAACTCGAATTGGTAGGCGCTACAACCTTGAAAGGCGTGTCAGGCAGGTCAGGGTCCTCTTCTGCCTCTTGCTCTCTCAGGAGGGCTTTGCACGCACTGGAGATACTTGCCGAGTTCAGTCTGTTGCTGCTCCCACTCGTGCCTTTCAGCCTCGTGACTCTGTATCCTGCATCACCCCGTGCCGTGTGCTCTCTCCAATTCTACCCTAGATCAAGTTACTTGTCTGCAGGAAACCCCTGTGTGGCAGGTTCATCTGTTCTTTCGGAGTCTGCAGTCCTCGCCGCTGCAGCTCTCGCTGATGCAGCCCTTCAATGTGGCCTGCTGTTGCTCCAATTGCTGTACCTCTGGCGCTGCCAAGTGCCGTCTATTCTGGCATGCACACGTTTGTGACTTCGTCTACTCCCGCTGGTGGCCTGTGCTGGCGGCTCCTATCTTTTCGCGCCGACAAAGGAGTTCATGGGAAGCCCGTGATCCAAGTTTGATTCGCTGCAAGAGGCTGCAATGCAGACACAACTTCCGACTAGAAGGAAGCAGTGTTGAGGGAAAACGCAGTGGTGAAGTTCGCTGCTGCAAAAAGCGTGCCTAAGAGATGAGGGCATGTAAACTGTCGCAGCGCCTCCAGAATCCAGCTGATGATACCGGATGGATTTGGTGCTGCTGCAACTTTTGTGCAGCCTTCTATTGGCAGATCTGGAGATTAAAGGCTTGGGTGGTATAGCGGGTGTGCTAGAACAGCTGATGCTGCAGCTGGAGGTGCTCCTGCTGGTTGGAAATTCGGCACCTGCCAAAATTAAGAGATCCATACGACAGTCGCACCACTGCAACACAAACTGGGGCGTTGGCTTAGCGGACGATGCCAGCAGATCCTCCCGCAGAAACAGCAACAGCTGCTGCGACAGTTGCTGGAGTAGGCTTGCCAGTGTTTGAGCCCCGAAGCAGAGCCGCACTAGCACCAGTCGCTACATCCGCAGCTCTACCAACAATAATAAATCCGCAACAGTGCTCCGGGTCATCAGGCTATTCTTCTGCACAGGTACAACACTGTCGTGTGAGTACACGCTACTGAGAGCAAAGAGTGGCGACGTTTAGGGGCTGGCCTCCCTCGAAAGGCATAAAAAAGGAAGCTGAATCAAAGGTGTGAATGTGATGCTTCGCTCTAGGATCTCCCTCGGCTTTGGGGAGTAACTGTTAGTGCATGGCTTTAGCGCCGCACTGTGGCTTTGGCTTTTACTGCAGCTGCTGCCACTACACTCCCATAGGCTTTGCTAGAGCCCGTGCTGTTGAGCCATGCCAAAGCATGCAAGACCATAATTGGCAGTGTAGAGCACGTCGA